TGTCCTTATTTTCTCAAACCAAAAGAGTAAAAACATGTTTACTAGAACAAACAAATGAGTAAAATGACAAAAAGTAAAAGCTCTTTCTGCTATCAAAGATAAGCACTACTGATACTTTCTGGTATTATATATTTCCAGACTTTACCTACCTACCAATATTTTTAAACAAAAAAAAATTATTATATATTTATTGTTTTTAACTCAAATAACAAACATTTTTCATGTCAATATAATTTTTACTGGTTAGATTGTGCTGTTCTGTATGCCGGGCTCATAGAACTAATACCCTACCATACATTTAAGCAATTTCTATTTCTTCTTAAGAACAACAGCAGGACAAAAAGTTTGGCTTTTACCAAATAAATACAAAAGATGATTTTTATTTAATCTCTAACCATGTAAAAAATCTCATCACTGGTGGCCTGTATAAATGGTAGAAACTTTATAATAAATAAAGACCATGCTGATTTCTTCATCTACTTTCTGTCCCAATTGGCACTTTATATACTAATTGGCCCCTTAGTTTAATGTATTGTTCAAGCTACAACTTGGAAGACAGTGATTACTTTCATACCACTTACTTAATTCCTGGAAGTCTACCTTGGTTCCCTACCTACAGCTACAAGCTCCTAAGTGTGCTCATTTCACCATGAACAACCAGTTTTCTATACAGGTATATAATATCCCTGTACCTAGAGTACCTTTTGGGTCATTTATTTGTTCTATGGGTGTTTCACTGAGATTTTCAAATGACTAGCCTCCACATGAGAGATTTTCAAGCCATGCTCTATGTTGCATAATGTAGGGACTTCATTTACCTTCTGGCTATTATAGAAGACCCAACCAATTCTGAGGGTACTCTGAGCCTGCTCCTTTGGTTCACGTTCAAATTGAAGTAAGGGACTCAGGGGAGTTTGGGTTGCTTTATTCCCTTGCTATGGTATTCAATATTTTAAGAAGAGAACTGGCTTTCTATTATAGCATAAGAATCTGCTTTTAATCAACTATAAAAACAAGACCAACATTTCAGATATCTTTCAGAAGTATTTACTACCTTGACTTACTAATGAGTCATACTTACTACATTCACATTGAAAAACATTTAAAGAGGATTGCTTGAGAGACACACAGTCCATTCTGTTCTAGAAATGTATTTAAAATCAATGATTGCCTAAAAGAGCCTATAAAGAACCATGCTAAGCTAGCTGCATAAAAGCACTGGTGGAACTTTTAAGACTTCAGATTCCTGGGCCCCACTCCAAACAGAATCTCAAGGGTATGGGAAACAGAGGTTTAGCAACCAGAGTTAAACCTAAAATTTATCCAGAACAGAGAGCTATATCTTCATCACACATTTTTAGCCTGCCTCCCTACTCTATAATTGTTTAGGTTATACCGTAAAGTCTTGTAGCCCCTACACTGAGGATTACCCCTAGTAAACTCATTATTGGAAATTCCCTAGGAAATAAATTCAATTTAGAAAACATTCAAGGGACATTTACCATGTGATTTATTATACTAGATGCAGGAGGTACAAATAAGAACATCACCTAGACCCTGCTTTCAAGGATCCTCAGAATACTGAGACTATTGTTCATCCTACCAGGTCTTACTCTGAGGAACCTATTGTACTTTCCTAGAATATCAGCTTATTTTTAACTTGAAGACAGTGTTCGTAAAGAAGTCCCAGAGCCAACTCAGCCTGCCACCTCCACACAAATTTGGAATGTATTTCATACCAATCTTAACCACTTTTATCTTATTTTTTTTTCTACCTTTATTTTCTTATTTCAGCTTTTTAAAAAATCTGAGTGTGCTTATATTGTGTTGTAAGAACCTCTAGCTGAGAGTCATGTTGCTTAACCAGAGGTACACCTCAGAATTATCTGAAGATCTTTTTAAAAATACATATTTTGGATCCTTTCTCCAGAGATCTTGATTTCAGTAAGTCTCAGGTGGGATATGCTGTTTATACTCAGAAAAATCCTCCTGGTTATTCTCATGTATACACTCATAGTGAAGAACTGTTCTCTAGAAATCTAAAAAGAAGTATTCAGCTAAGTTTTCCTTTACAATAAGCAGGTTTAAGGACATAGTATGAAATGGACCAAATAATATTTTCTCATCATTATTGCTTACTTCATTGTTAGTATGCAAAGAATGGTGCTGAAGAATTGATACACATGCATTTCTGGATCACATATTAGCAGAAGAGGAACAAATACTAACTTGATTAATACTATATCAATCAATTTTCTTATTTGGAATATCGCTTAGTAGAAATTGGATTTTAATGGTTATTATGTTACAGTTTTACTGAGAAGATTTTACAGGGAGGGAAGGAAAAATCACTCTGCTGGATTTTATGAACAAGATTTCCTTGTATTACTTCCACTAGTCACTCATAATCCAAGTGCACACCTCAGAGACTTTAAACATAGGTTCACTTTGAGATCCTGGAAGTATCATACCAAGTTAAACAAATTATTTACTTTGAAAACTATGAAGAGAATGGGAAGATGGTAGCATGGACATTAAAATAAAATTTCTCTACTAATGACAGGGGATGAATGATTCTAATGAAACATTAGCCTCATTTAATTGTGATATGTGAAACTCCCCTGCAAAAAAGCATAATATTCTTAATATAATATCAAAGATAATACAGCAATAGAAACCAATCTTTTAAACAATAATCTCTCTCTCCAAATTTATAGACTTGGCACATTCTATTTCTACTAACTTAAACAAAGTGTGTATTTTCATCAATTCTATAGAGGACACAATGTTTCCTACTGAGCTAATATTGCCAGTATTTTCTAAATATCTAGTCTGGAAGAGAATTATCATAATAGCTATATGTGAATTGACTATTTCCATCTCTTTATCTTTTAGTTATTGTGGTTCCTCTCAGAAACATATTTGCATTCTTTTCAAGTTTATTTTACATGGTAAAAAGGGACATGAAAATACATGCCCAATACCTAGTACTGAATTTTTTAAAATTACAAAATAGCATGGAAAGTGTATGGTGAGAAGTAATGATCATAGAAAAAGAGTGTAGGGTATACAGATATGGCCTTTTTATAGACAGAGAAAATAAGATGACAAATGTAAAGGGTGGGTGGGACAAGGCAAGTCCTTATCAAATAGGAACATCAGTGGGGAATATGTAGTAGTTTGACTAAGTAGAAATAAAATGTGTTAATTCTGAATTGGAAAACCTTATGAGAAATAGACAAAATGAAGAGAAGGGGGTTATATAGACTATTCTGGTATGACAAGATATAGCTACCTGAGCCAACAATAAAGTTGGAGCCTAACCAATGAATTAAGGATTCAACTGTGCGTGTTTAGGTACCACTACCATTTATACAAATTATGCAGACCCTTCTTCCCACTAATAATAAGATAAGAATAGTTACATGTGAATGGAGCACCAAAATATTAAGGGAAGAATAACAGAGTAGCTCCATCTTGGGGCAAGTTCTAGGGAGTGATTTGAGAAAGATACGTACAGAAAACAAAGGATGAAATCACAGAGGGATGGAACTGGCTCAGAAATGAAAGGAACTATATAATAGAGTTACTACACTGCAATTTGAGCTCAGAAACCTCTTGCTATCTACAGAAACTACATTGTTGTAGATCCAGAGCTTCACCTGTTCTACGTAGTAGCCCTGAATATGTAGGGAAAAAGTGCAGTCCTGCATAATGGCAGAGCTCACTAGCCACTACAATGGTGATATTCAGGTAGACTGCATGACATTTAAGTATCAAAATGTTGGTATAATACCATTTTCTTGGCCTTTTGAAAATTCTAAATTATTTTCCTCTTCCTGTTATTGATCAAAATCAATAACAATTCAATCTATATGAAAATAAGTCTACATTAGTCACAATACCATAGAGGTACTATAAAAAATCTTCTATTGAAAGAATAATTCCTTCTAAAGTTCAAATGATAATGTTGAAACTCACCTAAGCAAAGTTGCAAGGAAATCTGTCTATATAAGGTCAAATTAAACAAATGAAAACCAGAAATACTTCCTCAAAAAATAAAAACAAAACATACAGACATTGCCAAAAAAAAAAAAAAAAAAGGTTATTCAAAAGGATCCTCTTAGAGTTATGTAAAAAAAGAGACAAATGAGTTTGAAAACAGTATCTGGGTTTAATTTATAGCTTCTCATTTCCCCGACTAGTATAGCGAGATAGTGCTTTTTCTACAGCAGGAAACATGTTGCCCTAAAATATATTTGCAACTCAGAAATGATAAAATTAATCTTTAAAAAAAATAAAAATAAAAAAAGAGATCAAAAGAAATTCTATTTTCAATTTTGCTAGAATATATTTTCTTCATTTTTATGTAGTGTTTACTTTGAATAGTCTATTGAATTCATCAGCTAAGAGTTTACTTTAGAATGGTATTTTTTAATATTTATATTTTTATACATTTATCTGTTTTTCAGATCTATAAACTTTTTTTTACCTGTAATACATTAAATATTTAGTTTTGGCTTATTTTGTTTTAAATCCTAAGAATTTTAAAAAATCAAATAAAATATTTCATAGTAATGGTGCTATTTACCATTACTCAAAATATATACGAATATACCAGTAGTAGTATTTTGCTCAAACTTGAAATTACTAGAGTTCATTCCCTTAATGGCTTTAGTGAATTGGTTTAGGTTGCTTATTGATTTCAGAGCTTTTCCTGCTTCCTGCCAAGAAGTCAAGCCCATTCAAAGTATGCAGGGTCAACTGAATTATCTCATTTGTCTTTGAAAAAGGTATATATGAATACACTGGTATCTGGCAAAGAGGTAAACTAAATTGTTACCTGTAGTACTCTTTGAGTGATAGAATTTCAGATGATTTCTAATGACTTCTTCATACTTTAAGATAACTATATTTTCCCCTAATGAGCATATCCTATTTTTATAACAAATAGATATAATAATAATGATAATAAAATACAACAATAAAAATGGACAAACCTGTTGTCACAGAAGACTCTGACTCCCTCAATTTCTGAGATGCTAAAAGCTTTTCCTGCAACGCTTTCTGGGCAAGTTGTGCATCCCATTCTTCTAGTTCTTTTTCAAATCGCTGGTTGTCTTCCTCAACAAAATCTCTCAAATCCGGTGGTAAAGTTTCTATTCCAACAAGAGCCTGTCCAGTTTCTTTATTAAACTCCTCTGCAAAACATATTTCAAAAACTAATATAAAATTAAGAATTAAAGGAAAAATACAAAGCTCAAAATAGAATGCAGTGGGATTTAAACTATTAATTATGAATTATTACTGTTTAGCAAATGAATATAATCTATTTTAAAAACTCAAATTGTTCAGAAAAACAATGATATAAATATTTGATAATCCATGATAGGTAATGTTCTGTTTCTTTTATCTGAAGAATAGAAATGAGACAAGATATAAAGTCAAAATTTTTTGCTACTCTAACAATGATATATAGCAGTACTTTTGCTATTATAGGAAAATACTAGATATCTGATTACTTATGAAGTAAAATTTTTCAAAATAAGAGTAACTGATAACTTTCTTAAGCTCGAAACAGAACTAAAATTGTTTTTCAGCTGAAGCAGTTAAGGATAGTCATAAAAATAAATATGCAATTATAAAAGTTAATCAATATAGCAAGATTTTTTACATTATATAAATAATATTTAGAAGTTACTCAACTTCTACTACACACACAAAAGATAAACTTTACCTTTTTAGTCATAAATGGACTGCCTAGCTAGTTCTGCTGAATTGTTAAATGTAAAATCATCAGTTTTAACAAATCTTTATTGTTTTCTATATGCAAAGCATGTATCAGAATATCAGAAATAAAAAAATTGAGATATAGTATAACATGTTCCCTGGCTTTGAGCAGATCAGAGTGAAGTGTGCAAGATGAGTCAACATATAATTCCAACACACAATAAATGCCCAACAGAGATATTCTATGAGAACATAAGGAGAGAAAGTTTTGGCAGATCAAGAAAAACTTTGCAGAGGAGATGACATCTGAACTGAATCTTGACAGATGAGCAAGAATTAAGCAAAAGAAAAAAGAAAAAATATTATTGGCAAAAAATAAAACACATAAGAACATACAGATATAAATGTGTGAAATGGTTTGATGTGAGCAGAATACAGCAAGAAATTCAAATACCAGTAAAGTATACAAAGTTTGAAGTGGGCATTGGTGATGAATGAAGCTGGAGAGATAGAGGCCAGAAAACAGAGGCCTTACATGATAGCTAAGGAGTTTAAATATGAGTCAAGATGTGGATGCAGTCCCTAAAGGGTTTTTAGCAAGGGGAAAAAAGGTTAGATTTACATTAATCATTAACTTTGAGTACAAAATATATGCCAATTCTCAACCCTGGTCACATTACTTTTTGATTCAGCTTTCTCACTTATAACAACCCAGTAGTACTCTCTAATCATAACTACCACCCTCTGAATGAATTATACTTAACTAATCACACCACAGACCAGAGTCACATAAAAGGGCTATTTATTTAAAAATATATACTACCCTATATATTTCATATTCTTACCTTGTATTAAGAATTGTGCCTTATCATTTATATACATTAAACAGTAGGCACTGGCATTTCTATAACCACCAAAAGAATCCCTCACTAGCTCTTCCCAGGATGATTTTGTCACAGCAATATCATTGTACTTCATCCACCTGCTTTCATGATGATCAAAAATGTATGCCCAGTAGTGTCCAGCATTAGCTTGGCCTTCATGAACTAAAACAGCATGTAAGCGATAAGGAACCTAAATGTGAAAAAGAAGAGTTACACTATAATTACATAGTCTATTATACCACATTCCTTAAAATCTACAAACAACCTGTTTAGAGGAAACCATGCAAGCACTTTTTTTTAACAAGAGAACACTGTCTGGGATTAAAATTTTGAAAACATTAAACCACAAAATTGAAAACAAAAAGAGGGAGGCTAAATATGCTGACGATATGTAGATAGTTGTGTAGATAAAAAGACAATTTTTGAAACTTTGAAAATCTGTTGTCCTATTTATTTCTTTTGAATAAAGAACTTACAGTAAATAGTTTTATATATAGTACATGATTTGTCTAATTAACAATTACAAATTGATGGCTAACAAAACGGATTATATAATATGTACCAGAAGTTAAAATGATATTGAGCCCTAGAGTTTCTTTCCAAATCTGAATATCCTTCAATAACCATATATTTTCTCTCATAGGACATTTTTAAAAATCTTAAGGCCTTTTGTAAAATCTTGATCAATTTTATTATAAAAGAATAAAAAGGGTAAGCAATAAATACAGTATGACAGTCCATCTGAATGGGGGTAATTTTATTGACAAATTTTATAACGGATGTAAGGAAGAAGTAGGTTAAGATAAATAATATAAAGATAAATTAATATATGTAAATAGTTTTGACAATGATTACTAGCTCAGAATTTCACTTACTTGGATCATAGATTTGTCAGAGTACATTAGCTCAATTGTTCGATGAATTCTGGATATGCTTTCCTGCAAATCTAAGGATATAAGGTGTCATTTAATGATTAATATCAACTGTGTTTCTATTGAGACTTATAAAATATATGAGACTAAAGGTTTTTCTATAAACACGTTAGAGGAATAAAGAAAATTTCCTAAAACTGCTCTTAAAAACATTACTATTTGAAGTCCGTATAAAATGAAATATAGTTCTTAATAAAAGATATAGCACAAATGCATAGTAAAAACCAAAACAAATATGAATTATTCAGAAAATGTACAGAGTCAGTAAAATTGAACATTGTTCACATCTATAAAGGAAGGTTTCGATGAAAAAGCTAAACCCTATTTACATATTGCTCTAAAACATGTGAACTTAAGAATGAAATAAAATAACTTTACCACGTATCTTGTATATATATGCAATTAAATAAAAATTCACTATAACCACCAATGGAAATAAAATTATGGGACTCCTATCATTAATTATTTCTATTAATACTTCTAACAGAAAACAATCCTACAAAATTATCCAGAGATAGGGATGTTCACAGCAATATTGTCCATAATAATTAAAAAAAAACTGGAGATAATCTAAGTATCTGTCAATAGGGAAAGGAGTAAATTATACTATCACCACATCATACTGTGAAGTTGTTGAATTAAGAAAGAACCTTGACTACAAGAAAATATAAGTAACTGCAGTGGGGAAAGATCAGTTTAAACCTGAGAGAAAATCCAGTAACGATAAAGGAAAAGATAAGACCTCCCCACCCAAAACATTTTTTTTTTTTTTAAAAACTCTACATTATAAAAACAAAACAAACAAAAACGAACATAAAGAAAATCAAACGGCAAATTGGGAAAATAATATTTGCAGCATATACCATATACTAAAAGTTAATATCCACAATTCATTCAGCTTTCTACTAAGCAATAAGAAAAAGACAAATGATTCAATATAAAAAATGGGCAAATGTCACAAACAAGAAATTTACAGAAAATACCCAACTTCACTCACAATTAAGGAAATGCAAATCAAGATATTGAATATCATTTTTTCAACTATCAGGCTACCACAGATTAAAAAGTACCAGGGGATAGGGAGGATATTAGGAGACAGGCTCCTTCATATACAGTTAGTGGGAGCAAAATCGTGTAATGTTTTGGAAAGATAATTTTAAAATAGTCAACATTTAAACTATACACACTTTGGACCAAAAAAAATGGCAATTTTTAAGAATATATCCTACTTACAGAAGTATACAAATATGTATACAGAAGGCTAGCACTATTTGCAGAGAATATCAATATGAAAATTAAATAAATTATATCATACCCATATGTTGGAATATTACATAATAGTTTAAAAAATAATGCTAACAGCTAATATCAGTAAGGGGTGAAAGAAAGCAAGCAAATATCTCTTCTTTCCTGATCCATAGTATTATATATACAAAACCTTATCACGTGAATGTCCCTCAAGCTCAAGTTTAAAATTGCCAAAATTAAACTCATTATATTCCTACTTCCTTCCCCAAGGGAACCTGCTTACCCAGTAGGTCTTTTTCCAAAGTGCATTCTATTTAGTTATTCATACCACCACAAACTAAGGAATCATTCCTGATTTCTCCCTCTCTCACCTCTAGTTAAAGGTCCACATTTGTTAGTTGTCTCCAAAGAGTATTTTAAATACAGTCATTTCTTTCTTCCCTCAGTGCCACTACCTAGGTGTGAAAAGCTTCCTAGCTTCCACTCTTTTAAACATAGTCTTATAAAAACAATCTGCCATGCCCAGTAGAAAATTATTCAACATCTATCCACCACAGTGTTTGCTAAATACTATGTGCTTAATTAATGTTTGTTAATGAGTTCAAATATTAACATAAAAGTTTTCCTTATATATGAAAAATACTAAGAAAATCTTTACTAATTAGCTACTAATGCTAATTGTTAGTCACCATCATGCCCTATGTACTCCCTATTAAATTAGGACTACTCTTTATTCACATATACTTTATAAAGAGTCAAATTGGTCATAAAAAATCCAACCATCAGTAACTGTTCAATATAATTCCAATCATGTAGTATAAAACAGTTCCTACACTTTCCTTTTTTTGTAGGTCAATAGATTAGCATAAAATTGGGAGATAATAGGATATGATATTTTGACATGTAAGGAAAAAATATAATAAACAAAATCTACCATAAAATATTAACGCCACTTCACTTTTTTGAAAAGTACATTTAAACAGAAAAGTAGAAAGAAGATTAAGTTCAGACAAACTTGTTCTGAATAAAGTAATAAAGGATAGAATAGAATAAAGGAGAGTTCCTTCCAAGAAAGAACAGATGGCAACTTAACACATACACATCACACACACGCACACCCCACAGAGCACTGTCCTTATTTTTCTTATTTTGCAGCATGCCAGTAAAAACTCTGTTACAGACTGGCACTGAGTTCATAAATCATATTTAGAAATCTCTGTTAGATCAGATTAAAAATTAAAATTCACAATTCTAATTCTTAAGCCTAAAGGATTTTTTTTAATCACTTAAATTTCATTGTTGTACAAATATTAGGTTAAGTACACAATTGATATGTACAAACTTTGATGTGGTATGACATTTCACCAATGGAGTAGCTGTTAGTATCAGTTTGCTATAAATTTAGACCACTAAACTAGAAAATCAGACCATCTGCTATGTCATTAATCAGCTAAGCAATCCAGGGAAAATCTTTTCGTCCTTGTGAATCTGATGTTAAGATTATAAAAATGAGAAGCAAGACTACTTTATCTTACATAAACCCTTTTCTAGAATAAAAATGACTATAATATTTAAATATGAATCCAGAGGTAATTTTCCTTCTCAATTTTATTATAACGTTATACATATCTATCTGAGGTTACAGTAGCTATTCTATGAGAGGCTTCTTACCTCTGGTGTCATTTTCTATTTCTGTCCTCCAGCGATGTAAACAGCTTTCTAGCACAGAAAGTTCTTCTTCTGTTATGTGCCTTGGTGCTGGATGCATGGGCAAATCTGGAGGTATTCGGGACTGAGTGAATGGTTTGTGTATTACGGATCTTGATGAAATGGCAGCAACTGATGCAGGTGATGTGCTTGGCAGTTCTGAAGGAGTTCCCTGTTGTTCTGCTGTGCTGCATTTTCAAAGCATAGAATATTTGTTATTAACCTTTAAAACTGAAGCTCTGGACAAAGTAGTGCCAAACACATAGCATTAAATCAGCTTTCAAAAGCAAAAGATCTTAATCTATTATTAATCTATTCTTTAATTGATTAATCTATTCCTCAATTTCCAAAGGAATAGATCTCAAAAAAATATGTGGATTGATCTAATATCCTAATGAGATTCTTAATATACAAGAACTAAATTACTTTAGAATGAATTGTAGCTTAAGGGTAAAAACAGCTTAATCTATTTAAGAAAACAACAAATCTTATGTATGCTGAAATTATAAGGACTTTCCCCTTGCTAACACTTATCAGCTTACATTACAGAAACAACCTCTAATTTAACAGTATTATTTTCATGAATCATAAAAGGTTGAAACTTATATAACCGCATACCAAAACAATCAAAAGTGTAATTCTGAACAGGAAAAAAATGATTAAAATTTCAATCCATAACCATAAAATCTACTGAAATAATGAAATAAGAAAACTACCAAAAGATATATTAATACAATCTTCCAAGTGAATCTACTCTTATTACAAGTTTGCTAAAGTAAATCCAGACCTGCATTTAAAACAATCTTCTTTAAAGGCATCAATTACATTATTCCACAACACAGGGAACATAGCTGTCTCTGGCATGGAGAAGACTACTTACCTTGGTAATGTCTGTGATGGTACAGAGCTAGTAGGAGGGGAACTGGCATCAATATCATCAACAGGAGACGTGCAAACAGGTTTACTTGAGGCAAACTCCAAGGCATACTGCAGAACATCTACCAAGGGGAACCGTTTGGGACCCGAACCATAGCTTAAATACCTGTTAACCACAACATGCATGAATGCTTTTATTTGTATATACAGAACATTTGGGTTTTTTTAAATAGTTCTTATAAAACATGATATAATACTTCAATAAATCTTTTTCAACAATAAAATTCATTTGTTTTCAAATGAAGATGGTAAAACTGAATATATTAATATAGTCAAGAAAAAAGTAAATGAAATGTTCTCCAAAGGAAGGAAACCAAAGCTGATTAAGACTGAATGTGTGCATATACTGTTCAATTTTTAAATGCTGTTCTAAATTATAACTCAATAGGAAGATGAAAACCGACAGTACCATCTCCTGAGACTGTTTTTATTTTTAGATCTGGCGTCTGGTCTCATGATCAAGACAATGACATATTTATCCTCTTACCTTTTACCACTGACCATTTTCAATGATTACTGATACTTTTTAAGAATAAAAATTATTATAATAAGATATATTATTTTGTACAAAAAGTTTTAGGCTGTTAATTTGCAAATGAATGCTAAAATAAGGAAATACATATTAGAGCAGAGATTGCAAACTTGGATCTGTTAGGCCACATTTCAGGATGTAGACTTTTGCCTAACCTGCAGAACATCTGACTGTCTAGATTCTGGCTTCTTTTAGAAATAATCCAAATCTCTAGATCATAGTGAGACTATATTCACGCATGGCAGTACTGGATGGCATTTGCTCCCTCTACACACAGATGTGCACTCTAGGCTCCCCTCACATACCATCTTATACCTGACCCAATTTCCTCCTTTATGAAGCTTCTGTGAGGCCCTGGTAGGCCTCCAAGAGTATATCCTCTGTGTAAAGGAGAAAAACTCAACTTCCACTCATTTTAACAACTTTAAATTTTTTTTTTTTTTTTTAGAGACAGGGTTTCACTATGTTGCCCAGGCTGGATTCAAACCCTTGGACTCAAGTGATCCTCCTGCCTCAGCCTCTGAGTCACTGGGATTGCAGACATGTGCCACCACACCTGGCTCCATTCATTTAATGGAAATCTCAAGAGTGATCTATAGTTTCATACAAAAATACAGCTCAAAACCAGATTCATTTAACTTTCTATTTTCAGCACCAAGAGCCTTGCCTGTTGACAATGAGATATTTAATTTTAAATGCTAAAATAATGTTCTCAAATCAACTATAGATTTTTAGTTTCTAACAAAACTCAAACTATACTATTCAAAGCAAAACATTAATCCAGAATGATTATATACTTCTAGAATTATAAATTACTCAAAGCAACTTAAAAATCTAGACAGTCACTAACTACATGATTTCCTATAGTTATCTCATAATTTCATAAAAGTTAAAATACCGTTCTAGTCTTTGTTGTAATACTGTGAGGTAATCTTTGAGTCTCTTGATCTCTTCCCTCTTAATTCTTGTTATTTCTCTGTTTCTGTGCATGTATCTACCAAGGAAAAAAAAGCAATCATTAGCAAATATCTTAAAAGTAGATATATTAAGTCTAGACATCATAACAACGAATCAATTCATTCAAAATTTTATAAGATATGAGATATCACAAAATAGTATTTTTTAAAATTCTGACACAATTTTAAATTACAAAAATAATCTCATTTTTTTCTTATAACATGATTCCCAGTAACTATATTTTTCCAATAAAGAGTTAACTCCACTTTCCTTGACAAATGGTATTAGATGTATCATACAAAAGTAAAGATTAATTCTAAGAAAATTAACCAAAATTTTCCTCTAAACACATTGTTCACTTGCTTAATAAACCATTTCAAGACTAAATCATGCTGTATACCAACCCATACCTGTCTAAATATAAAACTTGGGGAAATTCCAACTTGTTGTGAATTTTTTCTGGTCTTCCCAATGCCTGATTAAATTCAAATCTTGACAATTCAAATGTTAAGACAGGTGGTAATTCAGTAAACCAATGCTGAAACAAAACAAAACAACAAAAAAACCTTAATATCACCCTTCTGTTTACACCCATTGCAATTTTAGGCATAGGATGTTAATACTGACATTTTTATACACATCATGACAATGCTGACACCAAAAATAACTGGAACACAAGTTAGTTAAAACTCTACTTCTTCCTAAAAGTCTTCCACACCTCTTGAAAATTCCAAGAGTATGTATAACACCCAATCAAGCAAGAGAAAACTCTTCTAACAACTGTAATTATTTCATAATTCTTTACATTTAGAATTTCTAACTGAAAGAAAAAGACACTGGTTAAAATCATGACTTAGTAGCTCAAGTCTTCAGTCTTCTTCAATATTATGTCAAATGGTACTTATACTTAATCAACAACACTGTCAAAATACTGTGATAAAGTATTAATAACTTGTAAAATAATAGTACTCAAAGTAAAAAAAATTATTTTTACTTTTTTAGAGATGGGGTCTCACTCTATCATCCAGGCTGATGTGCAGTGGCGTGATCACAGCTCACTGCAACCTCTAACTCCTAGGCTCAAACAATTCTTCTGCCTCAGCCTCCCAAGTAGATAGGACTTATAGACGTGCACATCACCACGTCCAGCTAAATTTTTTTTTTTTTTTTTTTTTTTTAGATATGGGGTCTTGCTATGTTGCCAGGCTGGTCTTGGAACTACTGGCCTCAACTTACTGTCCCACCTTAGCCTCTCAAAGTGCTAAGATTATGAGTGTGAGCCACTGTGCCCAGTCAAAAAAGAAACTATGTTTACAGTATAAATGATCACAACTCTCATGCTAAAAACAGGAAAAATTATTTCCATGTAACAGCCTCAAGTTCCTACATTATTTAAAGAGAAAGGAAAATTAACAAACTTGTAAATCAACAAATAACATAAGTGTAAAATAGTGTAACAAATATATAGAAGTGCTTATTATAAGCTGTGCAATGTGCTACTTTAAAAAGAAATTGATGCATTACCCTGTGCGTGATAACTGCAAGTACCACAAAATGCCACTCTGCATCTGTCAATAATTTATGAGTATACTAATTTAAATTTGAACATCCCAAAAACAGGAATGACACACACCTGGCAAATATATTTACAGAATTTGACAGAATCTTGAAATTTGCCACTTTTCTCTAATTAAAGCAAAAAAAAGTAAATGGCTATTCAATACTATTTCTCCCTCCCAAAATGCAAATGATTATATGAACTGAGATTTCCTGAGTTGGATTTAGGTTCTCTTCTACTTAAGATTAAGGTTTTAGGATTTCTTTATATGGATATTACCTAAAATGAAATAAAATTATGAAAGATCTAACATCAGAAACACTTTTTCAGTTTTAAAGTTTGATGCGCAAATTTTGCTTATTTTTTTTGATCTCGCATAACACTGGCTAGAATTTTTGAGTTAGCTCTAATCCACATCCAAAATTGCTATTAAGAATTAAGACATTACACCCCAGACATATTACAAAGAAAACTTTTGATGCCTTTGGATAATATTCTCTACTTCATTTAATGACACTCAAGCAAGTAAGTATATTTCAAGAACTAATACTTTCATATTTTATTGCAATACTTTAAATGTTACCATTAAAATTAAATAATTACATATTTTAATTCATGGGAATCTACCATAGCCAGGAGAAACAAAATGACCCAAACTGGGGTATACTATTCTGTAGACCATGAAAAGTCCAGAAAATATAAATAGCTTCCATACCTTAACAAAAGGATGTTCAAAAAATGTTATGTAATATGTCTCTGCTATGAGTATATTTCCTCTATCAACGATGGCAGGTAGGTTTTTCCTTCCACATGAGTGGAAGGTTTCACTTTCTCATTCTAAAGCTGATGGGGACAAGATAAGATAACCAGACATTCTGTAAATTCATTTTTTAAAATACTAATGGTATGTCTAGCTTTGTAATGTTTGGATTGGAAGTAAAGTAGTACATAACTAGAATTTTAAATAGTATAAACCATGAAAAGTTTTTCTTTCAAAAATTTTTCTTTCCATTCAACAAAAAACTATACTTCTCTGTAATCTAACTCGTATGCCATGCTTGGCATACGAGACAGAGGTCATTAAAAGTAAAAATTATGCTATTCTCTGTATCTCTAAACATATTATTTTTCTCACTGTATTACTATATAATGAACCTACAGGAGGAATAACTTTCTGCAGTTAGTGAATGAAGAATTTACATAACGCATATTGGCAGCATTAAGTGCTCCAGAATTTATCATGACTCTATAAATCTAATCTTTTACAAAAAAATCATTTGTATGACTTTTAATAGCTGGTTTTTCTATTAAAGTGTTTAAGATACCTTGCTTTTGAGAAGATTACACAAGTGCAGAAAAAACAGAAAAAACTCATCCATCATTTCAAATCCCCTCAGAACACCAAAGCAAGTCAAGATGCAAACTAAGCACAAGAAGCAAAAACTTCCTATTACAATTCAAAAATTAGCTCCAGTCATTTAAATGCCTTGATTCGTTTGACCTTTCACTTTAAAAGATCGATTTTTCCCATATAACTTTTATATATATACATATATATACACACACACATATATATGGTAATATTGATACAGTTTCTCCAATTTAGTTTTTAAAGCTTCGGGAAACTTTTAACACTTTAATATTACTTCATACAATTTTGTGAAGAGAAATCTGAAAGTACCTATTTATTTATTTATTTATTCATTTTATTATTATTTTTTTTGAGACAGGGTCTCTTCACTCTGTCACCTATGCTGAAGTGCAGTGGCATTAGTATAGCTCACTGCAACCTCACACTCCTGGGCTCAAACCATCCTCCTGCCTCACCTTCCCAAGTAGCTGTGGCTGTTATTATTATTTTTTTTTTTTTTGAGACAGAGTCTCACTGTGTTGCCCGGGCTAGAGTACCGTGGCGTCAGCCTAGCTCACAGCAACCTCACACTCCTGGGCTCAAACCATCCTCCTGCCTCACCTTCCCAAGTAGCTGTGGCTGTTATTATTATTTTTTTTTTTTTTGAGACAGAGTTTTGCTCTGTTGCCCAGGCTAATCTTGAACTCCTGGCCCCAAGCAAGCCTCCCCTTTTGGCCTCCCAAAGTGCTGGGATTACAAGTGTGAGCCCCTACACCCAGCTGAAAGTGCCGACAATTTTAAAGGAGTATGCCCTGTGACCCTAAGATTCTATTTCTCATTATACTTCATTTCTAGATGTTCAAGGGTATTTACAGAAAAGTATTCTTCAAAATAATTCTTTGTCTAACTACTGCCATACGGGAGAATTAAATAAATTTAAATTTATAAATACAGACTACAATGACCTTATGCAAGTTTTAAAAAGATTGATGTAAAGCTGAATACTGTCATGGAAAGATAATCATGATATATTGCTGAGGGAAAAATGTAAGTCTCAGGACAGTACGAACAGACAGATATAAATACTTATATATGCACAGCAATGGTCTAAAAGAATGTATTAATACAACACATTAGTAGTAGTGAATACTAAGAATTGAAGTATTTCCTATTTGAAATTTTTTTCCTCCAATAGGCAATCAAAAAATACCTCCTAGTTTCCTGGAAAGACGGAGTCATCTATAAATTGCATACCATTTAATTAAAATTTATGATTTAAAAAATATTTTCTAAGTAGTTATATTGCACATAATTTTTAATTTATTCAGTTGTCTCCTGGTATATCACTGTAGAAAATTAAACTGTTACAGCCCATTGGATGTTTTAACTTGGGCAATTCTGGAGACTGGAGGTCTTCCTGTATTAGTTGGCCACAGCTGTTTCAGCAAAAGAGACGTTTTCCGTGCCAAAATAAAATCAACATCTTTTAGTAAGTAATAGTGTGAGGGAAAAGCTGTTATTATCAGGGATTATGTCAATTTAGAAATAGCCTACAGTGTTATTTATTGGTTTATAGAGACTCAAGAAGAAATAAAATAGTTATTCTAAAGGATGTAATGAAATAAGACTATAACTTAGATGTTGTTTTAAAACCTTGTAAGATATTATACTCTAGTCAATGACAGTCTCTTAAACCAGGTTTAACTATTACTGAAACCATAGTCTCCAGTAAATCTAGACAATTGGTAATACGAATCACAGGTAATCAAATCTGCTATTATTAAGATTCCTTAGAAACCACTAAATTCAGAAAAGAAGACAGACTATTACATTCCTTAGGCTAGACGGAAAAACCTGGGCAGAAAATACATCCTTTAGCATTGGCATTCAGAGTATGAAAAGATGAAGGACGAAAACAAGATCTTTTAAATAAATAATGAAATTCAGATTCTATGTAAGATAAATAATTTTTATAAAATTTATAAATAATTTTTAAAAGCTAGGAATATGTGAGAAAGATTATTTATCAGTAAGCCATAGTGTATTTCACTTAAAAGCTACTCTGACAATATAAGGAAAATGTCATCCCTGCCCACCTACTCCAGCCCATCATCCTTTTATTTAACAGCAAACAGATCAGAGTTTAGGGGATCTGCTTTCCTGATCAATTGTGGGATCTTGTGAAGGTTCCAATTTTTAGAGATCTGTTTTCCAGTCAATAAAATAAATAAGCTGAATTTAAACATTCTTAATTAGAAGTCTATATCAGAATCACTTGTGGAGCTCTTCTGTCCATGCACATATCCCTATCCTAGACTCTGATTTGACAGCTTTGAAGTGCGGCCTCAGCATCTATTGAGAATCACTGAAGTAGATGATCTATGGTGTAGCGAGAGAAACTACTTCACATAACAATCTTCCTTGTAAAAAAAAAAAAAAAATCTGTTTGTCTAGGTATGCGAGGGAAGAGAAAGAACTGAGGATGGAGCTGAAACAGGAAAAGATTAATCACATCGTTTATTTAAAAAAAAAACAATTTAGATAAAAGCAATTTACTTTCAAAGAAACAAGAACCCAGTGTCTTTTCAGAAAACAGAGACAGTATCAAGCACCTACTACTCAGTATAAAGACCAAAGAACTTTTTTGATAAGCACGGACATATTTCATCCATTCATTCAATAAATATTTATTATGTATGCAGTCACCATACTACCACTACGGATATAGTAGTGAATGACCCAGATAAAAATTCCTACCTTCATGCATGGAGCTTACCATCCAGACAGCTATCAATAATTGCTTAACAATGCCTGATTCGGCACACAAGATCTGTCCTTTACTTACTTATGGTGCCAACACTTCCTTAGAGATAAATACACGGATGAACACAAACACAAATGCAGCTAGACAGATGGATAAAGACTCAGAGATGGATAGAAAGAGATCAATGGAGCTAGATAAATAAGCTTGCAATATTTTTTTAAATTATTTCTTTCTTGAGAAATCAAGTTCTTTCTTCTATATGACTTTATGCAATAACACAGCAATTCTACAAGAAATTTGGCATTGCCTATATAGATCTAAACAAATGCCAACAATATTTGATATAAATAACATAAACCTATATAAAAATCCACCCTAATGTCAGTGTTTTTCTTCTTTATTTCCAGGACTAGCATGCTACTAATGGCTGGCACCTTGATTGAAAAGTCTAAAAAGACTGAACAATGTCCTGGAAGTATTTTAACAAAAGATTTCAAGATAAATTGTTTAAAAGACAATTTAACATGGATTATAGACCATATTGACAATACAAGTTTCCTGAATATGTCTAAGATACCATAATTAAATCCAAATATATTTTCTGAGTATTCTCTCAATTACTAGGTAGCTATATAAATCAGAACTTTAAATTATGCTTTATAGCATTTTAAGAAAGGCCTGGAGATAAAAAAAGACCACTGAAAATGTTAAACTCACCTCTTGACCTGATTTTCCTGAATTCTCTGAATGTAAAGATTCAATTTCTCCTTCGATCATTGCAGCTTCTAGGCACTCATGCAGATCTTTGAACCCATTGACCTGAAGTGGGTACTGACCAAACATTTCAGTGTTTTCAAACTTTTTACCTATGAGAAGAGGGAACATTAATTAATGTTCCTCAATATGTCCTTTTAACTACTAAAAGTAGGTGTATATATGGATTCTCTCCTGAACCTAAAAACTATAACACTATGTTCCTGAAAATAGTGAGTTAAGCATAATTTTCCTATTGGTTTATACATGTACACTAATACATTCACACCTAGCCATAGATATTTATGATACACACACATGTAATTATATGCACACATATATATATATATTTATTCTTGCAAGAAACACCTTCTAAGAGCAAGACATTGTCCTAAACACTGGGAATATATATATAGCAGTGGACAAGAGAGATACGGTCCTTGAGTTGAGGAAATCCTCATCCTCATCTGGAAGGAAGACATTATGCACATTAACTGAACATATAAACAAATAATCATTTATTATTATAAGTGTTAAGAAAGGTGTGATGAGACAGTGCTGTAATAAGGTATAAAAATGGGAGCTAACTTAGTCTTAGATGGTGGAGGAGAGAGTAAGGAAGAGTTCTACATTTAAGCTGGGAATGACACAGGCCAGTGTATTGGGGGCTGTGGTGTATTCTTGGCCAAGGAACACCATGACAAAGACTTTAAGGCAGCAAAGAACTTAACATGTTTAGGAACTATTATAAAGGAAGGTCAGTGTAGCTTGGGGGAGTAAGGAAGAGATCACCATTAAAAGTCTGGCAGGGGGTAAAATTTTACAAGGTCTTGAAGTCCTGTTAAGAATTTTTTTTCCATGTGACAATAACCCACTTGTACCCCCTAAATCTATTTAAATAAAACACAAACAAAAAAAAGAATGTTTTTTTTTTTTCACTACATTTGGATATAACTGAAAGTCACTGAACAGTTAAATCTAGGAATAACAGGATCAGATTTACGTCTCTGAAACACCTTTATGGCTTCTGTGTGAAGTGGGTGGTAGTCCATTAGGAGACTCTATCACAAAATCCATCCAGAAATAAAGGTAGCGTTGATTAAGGAATTAACAGTAAAAATGCACAAAACCACATAAAATTAGACACATACATTTTTATACACACACACACACACACATACACACACACAGGTAGCACCAACAGGACCTGACTGACTGGCTCATAGTCAGGATGGGAGACAGACGAGCAAGGAAGGTATCAAGAACAATAGTCAGATTTCTAGCACAAACAACCGGGTTAACTTTTTGTACTGAGAACAGTGCCACTGAAGGAAAAATAGAAAATTCTTTTTCTTTTATTTTGAGGTAGCAGTGGAAATCATTGGTTCAGAATGGCCCAGGAGATTTCAATTTAAGAAGAGAGTTGGATATGAGTCTATAACTAAGATTAAATAATCTGGTCTGAAGATATAAATTGCTGGAGAATTGCTGGCTTATTGACAGGTTACCCAGGGGATTGACACGGGAAGAGGAAAAGGGATAAGCCAAGTCCCAAGGATCTCCTACCTTTATACTCAAGAAGAAGAGAGGATAAATATTATTTCTAAGAAGTACCCACAGAGACAGGAAAAGAAACCTATGAGAATATGGTGTCACAGAAGCCAGAGAAGTGTGTTTTTAATGAAACAATGGGAAAAAGGAAGAGGGAAAGAGAATAATCAGCATTAATAGTTAATAAGAATTCAATATGGAAATGGAAAGGGATCTAATGGATTTGACCAAATGTAGGGAATTAATAACCTTAGAAATAACCTTTGAGATGAGTTCTGAAACCAGAACTTAAAGTGAGGATGGTTAAACAAATAGGGAGTAAGCAGATGAAACCAACTCCTCTCTTCAAAGGGGCTTACCTCTAAATAGGAATAAAAAGTGAGGGTATTAACTGAAAAATAATACAGGAAGGAATAATTTTTTTTTATTTTTAAGATGTTTGAGATACCAGACCATGTCTAAAGATTGATGAGAAAGACAGTGGAGAAGGAGAAGCTGAAGATACAGAAAACAAAACAAAACAAAAAAAGATAATGGAGGAAGGTCTGAGTAAAATCATGAAGGGATAGAATTCTGAGCATATATAAAGAATAGTCCTTTGATATAAACGGGATAATTCCTCTATTACCTGGACAGATGGATAAAAAGAATACAGTGGAGGCAGCAACCGATCTAGATTGTGGAACCTGAGGCTCATATATTTGCGGACATAATTTTTAAAAAATAAGATACAAAAGTACAAATATAAAATGATTGAGAGCCTTGGACAGGATCTATGATTAAGTTTCATTAATTTCACAGTAAATCTATGAAATCTAAGGTAAGATGTTTCATAGAGAATGAAGAGACAAAGAAGTTAGATTTGCATAAGTGGGAAAGATGAAAATAGTTATTGCAGAAAATGAGAGAGAAGATAGTATTATACAAGACAAGTATGTGTCAGGTATGGTTATAGGATTGGGACCAAGGAAGCCCAGTATTACTCAAATTCACAATCCATGTTACTCAAATTCATGATCCATTATAATTAGCCCATTTGTGTACTTTTCCCTAGCAACATTCAGGTACTCAGTACATGAACAGTGAAAATGAACAGCTTAGTGAGAGTCAGAGAATAGCCATGGAGGTGATGCCAGAAGGGAATGGGGGAAAGAGAGTTTTGGATATTAAAAGAGTGACCTTAATGATAAACAAGGAAGGAAGTGAAGTACACAAAAAGGCTAAGAGGAACAAATGGAGAGGTCAATGAACTAAAAATTCTCAAAAGGCTAAAAAACTTTTGCAGTGGGGGTACTTTTGCAAACAAACTAAAATTCACCCCCAATGGAGAACCACTGGTCTAAATGAAAATATTAGGAAGATATACGTAAAAGTGATAAGAAAGTGCTCTAAAATAACTTATTCTTACTGAAGCAAATACATAGTCGATGTAGAACTGTATTAAAGCCACATTTATACAGCACAACAGCTTTGAAACAACTAATACCAAGTACAAAGACTTCAACATTGATTGACAAATTAAGTATTTTAACCACTTTTTAAGAATGAATACATGTAGAAATGCTTGTGCAGCATATTATAATTCGTGCCCATACATAACCTAATTAAGACTGACTTACTGCTTCATATAGTGTTATACTTCAAATAAAACCAAAATGATAGAATGGATGACCCAATGTAATGTATTACGTAAAATATTCCACTTACATAATAAATATTTAGCATTTGAAGCAAACAAAAATATACTGACCCCTCAATATAACTTTTTAAATGCCTAACATCTGAGTTAATATCTGCCTTTTTCTAAATCCCAAACTATCAAACTATATTCAAACAAAACTCCACGAGAATCCGTTACCTAAGACCAAGAAGAAAAAACAATTTTCCAAGTTTTATATTTTAGGTCATCTGGAAAAAAATAACTTTCAAAGGTTGAAACATTGGGGCATTTGGAAAAAAACACAATTTTTCAAAAGTTTATGCTTTGGAACTTAATAATTTTATTAAGTAAGTTATATCCAATGAGTCTAGTTTCCTCTCTTGTTAGGAAAAACTAAGAGAAACTGGTTAGGCCCAAATTTTAAGAAACTAGTATTTACCACAGATGGAGTAATATTGCTCTTAACTGATTTCTCAAAAGATAGAGTACAACCATTTCTTGAATTTTACAATCGTTCCAAAAATGAGAATCCTGTATTCATGCTGACTATGCTGAGTTGCTAAATTCAGCTTTCAGCAACAAAAAATAAAAAGTGAGCATCATACCAAACCCAGTATTCAACTGTCCAATATTATCTTTAAAGGATCTATCAACTGTCCCATTAATTGCTGTATTCCAAAAACACAGTATCACGAAAGCCATTTCACTGGAATGAACATTAGGATAAAATGAAGTATCAACTGGTGTGTGCTAATGCACTCTGTACCTTCCAAAAATTCACTCAATTCTGTGCTATATGCAAATGATTAACAGTAACAATGCAACAGGAACTATTAGAGTAAATCAAATTAAAAGTAAAAACCATTCAACGAATGCAGAGTCACTAGCAGGACAAAGGAACAAATGGATAATAATATCTCTTCACTTGTAATAAAAAGTAAGTGTGTAACTATACCTTCGAGTACTCCCACAGCTAGGAATCTTCCATAGAACAACTCTACCATGGGGTTCTTTGGCTTCTCTTCATCTCTAAAGCATGTTTAAAAATACAAATGTGGTTATAATTTTTGGAACTATAAATAGAAAAAACATTAAAAGAACTGTACTATCTGACAAGTCAAAAACCTTTATGTGGCTATCACACACTCGGTTCTCTTATTTAGAATGTCACTTTGGTAAGGTACTTAAATTTATTTTTCCGTTTCTTCACCCATCAATTAAGGATAATTCTGAAAATTGAACTCACAGAACTGTTGTGTTAAAATGAGTTACTACAATGGTATCAACTTGGAAGAGGAGCTGACATAGTCTGTGTTCATGAAGTGCCTGCCCTTTCTAGTATCATTACAGATTTCGACCTTACACTTTTAGTCTGTGTAATACATGTTTATTTGGACATTTTGAGAAGGAAGGAAAGCCACTTTTAATCAGAAGATCTCTACAAAGTTTTGATAAGTTATTTCCTGCTTTTATGTAGAAGTGTGTGCATACCATCTAAAAACAACAGCTGTCATCAGTGAAGGAACGAAATAGCAGCTTTGACCCAGAGTAGCTAAAGAACTACTCTATCCTTTTTTGATGTTTCATGTTGCTGGTAGAATTAGTCATTTATAAAATTTTTTAAATTGTTTAACATACAAATTCATTCTTTTTTGCATGAAGCAAACAAAAATTGACAGTTTTTAATTGTATTTTTTTGATTTGTACTATACAACCTAAAAAGACAAAGTTTTCTTGGCCTTACTATATGAAAGTGTGTTGTATCCACAATTGTACACAGAATTCTCTTCATTAACTTTGTGTTTAAATAAAATTATTAGGTTATTAAGTATGGAATGTCAGATTTCTTTAAGTACTAAGTTTGACAGTTGATATCTCTGACATTGCACTTTGACACTTCTTATTTTTATTATGAAGGTACACCCTCATTCTTTCAAATGCATAGTTTGGCTTGTGATTATCTTTCAAAAAAATTTTTAGAGCATTTTTGTGAAACCATGGATAAGTCAAAAATTCATGCTATTTCTGAATATGAGTTCTGTCATGGAACCAGTGCAGCTCAGACAGCTCGAAATATCAAGGAAGTGCTTGGGAAGGATGTGGCTAATGAACGCACAGTATGTGGATGCTTTGAGAAATTCCTTTCTGGTGATTTTAATCTTGAAAATAAGCCACGTGAATGACCTGAGACCAAGGTGGATAATGATGAGCTGAAGACAGTAGTGGAAGCGAATCCATCTCAAACTATGCGAGAATTTGCAGCAAGGTTTGACGTTACTATTCCAATGACATTGGACCATTTGAAACAAATTGGCAAGGTAAAGAAGCTGGATAGATGGGTTCCACATGAATTCAATGAGCATCAGAAGAGAAATTGTCTCGAAGCTTGCCTTTCTTTGTTGTCACAACATAAAGGCAAACCATTTCTACACCGTATTATTATGTGTGATGAAAACTGGATTCTTTTCGACAATCACAAATGTTCCGCACAATGGTTGGATAAAGATGTAGTGCTGAAACACAGTTCAAAACCTAATATTCATCAAAAAAAGCTAATGGTATCTGTTTGGTGGTGCAGCAGTGGTATTATACACTATAGCTTCATGAAACCTGGTCAATCAATTACAGCGGATGTCTACTACAAACAATTGGATGAAATGATGAGGATGCTTGTGATTAAGTAGCCGAGACTGGTCAACAGAGACAGGCCAATCCTCTTTCAAGACAACGCTTGACCACATGTCAATGAACAACACTGCTCAAACTACGGAAGCTGGACTTGGAAACTCTCTGTCATCCACAGTATTCATCAGACCTTGCACCAACTGACTACCATTTCTTCCAGGCTTTGGGCCACTTCTTGCAAGGAAAAATATTCGATTCTCAACAAGCTGTGGAAAACGCCTTTCGTGATTTCATCACCACTTGCTCTCTAGGATTCTTCGCTGCTGGCATAAACAAGCTACCATTAAGATGGCAAAACTGTGCCATGGTTTAGGCACATACTCTGATTAATTGTACTGCTTCTGGTTTGAGATATAATAAACTATACTTTTGCTTCAAAATGGGACATTTCATATTTAACGACCTAATAATTTGGGAAGCACTGTTTAAAAGGGGAACAGGGGAAAATCTGCCTCTTGATAAACATGTTACATGAGTCATCATTTAATTCTTAGAATCATGGTGGTAAGCAAGTACTTCACTTAATACTCACAAGAATCCTAGTGTGTAGTTCAGTAGTCCTTAGTGCTACTCAAAAAAATTTCTGGACCTTCACTTTCAGGTAAGATACATTTTCCCACTTTTTTTTTTAATTTATTTTTTATTTTTAATTGAGATAAAATGTACATAGCATAAAATTTACCATGAGTGAACAGATGAGGAGAGCCCTTTACTCACATCCATTGGGTACATCTAAGGATACAGCCTCTAAATTTTGAAGTTGTTGCCATAGAATTTAACTAGCTCATACAGTTTGTATATTTGACCCTCCAAACCTCATGGTGAAATGTGATCCCCAATGTTGGAGGTGGGGCCTAATGGGAGGTGTTTTGGTCACGGGGTGGATCTCTCCATGAATGGCTTGGTCCCATTCTTGCGGAAGTGAGTGAGTTCTTGCTCAACTAGTTCCTGAGAGTGCCCTGAGAGCTGGTTGTTAAAAAGAGCCCAGCACCTTTCCCCTCTCTTTCGCTTCCTCTCTCACCATGTGATCTGCATACACCTGCTGCCTTCCACCTTCCACCATGACTATAAGCTTCCTGAGGCCCTCATAAGAAGCAGATATTGGCACCATAGTTCTTGTACAGCCTGTAGAACCATGAGCCAAATACCAAACAAACCTCTTTTCTTTAAAAGTTACCCAGCCTTGGGTATTCCTTTATAACAACATAAATGGACTAAGACACCCACCTTGACTGACAGAGTTGTACCATTACCTCTGTTTTACTGACAATAAAACTGTAGAGTACTGACAACAAAACTACACAACTACAGAGTACTGTAGACAATAAAACACGTAGGTTCTGCATGAGGTAGAGGCTAAGAAGCAGGTTAAACTTTAAAAATTCAGCCAAGCTTTCCTAAAAGAAAAAAATATTAAAGAAATATACTCAAGGCCTAGGACATTCAGAAGCTGAGGAAAGAACACATTGCAGAAATAATAATCTTGACTGAATGCTGAGACTCATGTTTCAGAAGCATCAACAGCAAATTCAGTTCAGAAATCTGATGGGGAGATTTTTTTCATATGAAACTAATATAAACAGAAGAGAGAAACTAACATGAACAGAAGAGAGAAACCAACCTAGGAGGCAGGTTTCATAGGCCTAAGCAATTTTATAGCAAAACACAGTGACAGCAGCCATTTTGGCACAAAATAAATTATTAGAAAGAGCTTTCATTAAGTGCAATACTGGGGGCTGGCTAACCGGGGCTTATGAAGGAAAATGCAACCAATGAGTTTTGTTGGACAGAAAAGAAGGGCACCTGACTATCAGAGCTGCCAGCATCATAAACTTCTAAACATGTTCTCAATTGCCACAATCTACGACAAAGATAGTTTGCAAATAATGAAATTTTTTTCCCCTCAGATATTGCAGACGTAGTGCTAAATTAGTCTCTTGAGAAATTTCTCCCAATTTAGTGTAAGTTCACAGAAAGTTGTCTGCAACCAACTGGCCCTCAGTGACTAGTGTCCTGGCAGAACTAAAACCAAGATGATTTTCTCAGTTTACCATGTTATCTCAAGTTTCTCCTACCATCTCCAGCAACAACTTGAGCAGGAATTGCACTAAGTTCTGGGAATAATATTATAGTTATATCAAAAGACATGAAGTTAAAATTTTGCTTTTGTTTCAAATTCCAAATGTAATAGACCAATGTTAATTGTGTGTATCCTAACAATTCTCTGAAATCTAAAAGTAAAGCATATGAAAATTCAACATTTGAAATGCTAAAGACCTATACATGTGTAAGTGAAAGAATACAGACAGCAATTGTAGAACCTCAACTCTATTCAGGCACAGAAATGATATGCTTATAGCTAAGACAACATAAACTAACAACCCAGGAAATGATTTTTCTTTTTGTTATACTGTAACCACAGAGCAAAATAATCTGATTTTTTAGTATCAATTCTTGAAATCCTACCTTAAAAGATAAAGGTAATATCATTTGGAAACAATTTTTTCCTGGGTTTTGGTAACAAAAGGGAGGGTGAGGTCGATATTAATGTTTGGGAGCATTTCTAGGCTATTAACATTGTATGATTAGAAGACAGTTTAATTTAATCTCATTGCAGACCATGTTCGAATGACCTTTATTAGACAACAAAGCTGACAGTATTGTTATATTCTATAATATATTTAATAAAACAGAAACACTGTATTCTATAAAAATTGAAATTATAGTCTATAAAAATAGAAGAAAGAGAAGGGAGAGAATTTTCAGGTTGGGATTTCAGCCTGTATTCTAGGTGTTAATTTAACAACTGCATCTTGTAGACTCATGTCAGAGTCTCATGGTGGCAGTCTACATGGCCCACCGATGTTTTAAGAAAATACACAAAGGAACATAGGTTGGTATTAGGAGAGTGGCCTCACGAGCGTGGGAGCAAGATGGCCCTGAAAGTGTCCTGATTTCCTTCTCTAAGGAGGCCAGCCACATATTTTAAATAACCAAGGTTTTAATGGTTTGGCCTAGTCAATAGAGAATAAGAAGCTAGGCAATGGTGACGAGGAACTTCATATACCTGTCCTCATGCTTCGATGTAAAAGGACTTCATCAGAATTAACATGCCTGGTATCTTTCTCCACTAACCCATTCCTCCTCATGAAAAGTGAGTGTTGAATCTAAGGAAAAGAACTGAGCATGTGAGATCAGCCCTGTCAGGAATCATTTTTTTAGATTTTTCTGGCTAGATTCTGATCTTATAGTGGAAACCGAACACTACCCAATATTTGTGGCCATAAATTCCAAAAAGCTTGTCGATAATACAGATAATATTGGGATGTCCATAAGTCTATCGTGGCTTTCTATTTCTCTGGTGACAATGAATACATAAGAGGAAAAACTGAGTGCTGTTTATTAACTTACTAAAACCACATCACTAAACTGCATGGTAACTTACGTCTCCTCTTCAGCTTTCATTTGGAAGGCATCTTCTAACCAATCTAATAATTTGTGTGTAAACTCACTCACATCTTGCTGTGGAAAAAAGAAAAAGAGTCTTGTTGATATTTGAGCCTACTAATAAAAATATTAAATGTTGCAACACAAAACCTATACCCAGTCACTGAAACGTTATCATTATCAACCCCTTATGAAGGTAATACAAAGCTAATGTTTCACACCAAATGCAAGAAACTTTTATAATTTAATCAGGGTATAAAATCAATATTTGGGAAAAAAAAGCATTATATTGATAATTACTGTTATTGGATTTCACTTTAGAAAAATATATATATATCTCAAACTTCAAACTTACAAATGAGACTTAAAAAAGAATTACTACTCCCCTGAAAGAGCTTTGTAATGAATCTTTATAAAATTAGTAACTCATATTACCAAAGGGTTCTTCATTTTATAAAGAATCGTTACTGACTTCTCTCTTAGAAGACAGACTAGTGCTTTTTGACAATTCATTTTCTTAATTCAACTTATATACACAACTTTTTAAGCTATATCTACCTTTATACTAAGATACCTGTCAACTTGGACCAGTTGAGTCCAACTAATCACTGACTACTGAGTTTACCTCATGAGCCTCAAACTGATCCTCCATTCAGAACCATCACATACATCACCTTTCGCCATCCCTTTCTTTGGTCTTTGCTCCCCTAACGAAGACACACAGGAATAGATGGTGGAAGCTGTACTTGCTAACTACAATAATTCTTTCAATGATATGAGCTGGAACATAGAAAACAGGTTCACACAGAACACAGTGACAAAAGACTAATCAACCCTACTAAGCCTGCTTTAAGACAGATAAATTATAAGCAAATTGCCTTTTCTTATCAAAATAGCCCCAAGTATAAAACAAACTTACAATAATATATTTTTCTAGCTAGAAGTTTTTTAAAAGCATTTAGTCCAGGGGTGGGGAACCTGCAGCCTTAAGGCCCAGATGTGGCCTTCTAAGTCCTTAACTGTGGCCTTTTGACTAAACCCATATCTTACAGAACAAATATTTCCATTTTTATTAATACATTTTTGTTCATCTTTGATATTTTTATTTTATTTTTTAAATGAACATATATAAAATACCAAAGAACAGTGTAAGTTTCAACAAAATAATCCTCCCAGATTGACTGGCACAATTAGAACATTAGTAAGCCACAAAGGCTAACTTGATGGCTGCTATGCTCATGGTTTAGTTCTAATTTCCCCGGCCTGATTGGTGCCACTACCGCACAAGGCTGGTTGGTGAGAGTTTATGAGGGTCAAGTACACCAGTTTGTTACCAGCTTTTAACAATGATGCACTGTGTTTCTGTTTGAAGTGGAATTTGTGAATAGTTGTACAGCTTGAGAATGTTTTTTTAATTCTGTCTGCTTAACAGTCCATCATGTCAACAAAGACCAAGAGAATGCTGAAGGAAAAAAGTAGATTTTTTTAACGAAGACTGGGAATTGCAATATTACCTTGTTTCTGCTAAAGATGAGATGATTCGCATACTTTGCGATACTTCAATATCAATATTAAATAAATTCAATGCTCATCAGCATTATAACGCTCATTAGGACCACAAAGATTTTAAATTAGAGGGAGAGGTGTGAAAGGTTGTATTGCAAAAATTAAAAGATGAAAGCAAAAGCAAAAACAACTCTTTCAAGCAGTAGTAAGACCTTGAAATAATAATGCCACTGAAGCAACTTATAAAGTAGCTTATATACTTGGGGGAAAAAAGGGAAGCCATTCAGTGATGTAGAAATAGTGACAGAATGTATCGTCTAAGTTGTAGGATGCTTAGACCCTGATAACATTTCAAAGTACAAACAACTGTCTCTTTTAAGGAGAACCGTAACTGATCGACAGCATGAATTAGGCTTCAACTTAACAGAACAACGTGATACAATATTTGAAAAGAAAAATATATATTATTACATCACTTTGGATGAATCAACTGATAGTACTGACTCAGTGCAGGTTTTATACTTTATTCGGGTCATGACAGAAGATTTTCTTTGCTATGAAGAGTTACTCACTTTGGGTACTCTTTTGAACAGAACATGGGGGATGGATATCTTCAACAACTTTCAAGACAAATGTCGTGAAGTTGGACCGAATTCAGTAAATTCAGTGAGTGTATATACAGATAGTGTATCTTCCACGACAGGAAAACATGAGGGGTTTATTGCACAGATAAAAAAAGTATTAACAGATCTAGATGCTCTCATTTCTTTCAGTTGTATTTTGCATCAGCAAAATCTCTGTGCTAAAGCTACTATTAAGTGACACTTTGCAACAAGTTATAAGTATTGTTAACTATATTCCTGCAAATGCAACCTGGCATCCTCGGTTTTATAACATGCTAAATTTGAATGATGAGGCATTCAGTGTGGATTTGCCATATCATTCTAAAGTGTGTTGGCTATCACAGGGACAGGTGTTAGCCACAATTTTATCTCTGTGAGAACAAACAATTTAATTTTATGAAGAGCAGAATCAGCAATGTGAATTATTGAAAGATTTCCATAGGAACGTAGCATTTCTGTGTGATATCATTTCAAATCAAAATGACTTGAATATTACTTTGCAAGGTAAAACTAAGTCTATATACAATATGTGGCAAAAAATCCAAGCATTTTGAAAAAAGCTATCTCTTTTCAAAACACTTCTCCTTCAAGAGGAAATTTCATTGCTTGAGCTCAGGAGTTCAAGATCAGCCTAACCAAGAGCGAGACCCTGTCTTGACTAAAAATAGAAAAATTAGCTGGACATGGTGGTGTGTGCCTGTGATAGTCCCATCTTCAAGGAGTCTTCTTATAGGAACCAGAAAAAGGGAAGACACATAAACACACAAAGGAAAAGGCCACATGAAGACAGAGACAGAGATTGGAGCTATCCTGCCACAAGCCAAGGAACACTAGGAGCCACCAGAAGCTGGTAGAGGCAAGGAAGGATTCTCCCCTAAAGCCATAGGAGGAAGCAGGGTCCTGCCAACACCTTTATTTTGGATCTCTGGCCTCTTGAATTTTCTATTGTTTTTAAGCCATCCTGTTTGTGGTTATTTGGTATAGCTGTCCTAAGGAACCACCTTAAAATAACTTTCTATACTTTCCTATAACTTTACTTACCTTGAAGTTCATAGCTAACAAAAAACAAAAACGTTCTTAGTTATACAGTACTCTCCAGAAGAAGTTAATCCTTACCCTTTTTAGCAATCAATCTAAAATTAACAATCACAAAATAAAAATTCTACCTACTTTTATCAAAAGAAAAAAAGTAAGGTCTTTACTACACCATTTTAGTTTAAAACTGAAACAATTAAAGGTATGAATAAAATTGACAATATCACATACCACAGGGTATCCACAAGACTCCTGCATATTTCAAAACACGATATAGTTCAATTATTTAGAAAGAATATAAAATGAAAGTATAAATTTACTTTTTAAAAAAATCATGATGCTTAACATGATTTATGGATTTATTTCACTAAGTCAATGAAGTATACTTCAGATTCAAATGATGAGGGAAAAGAAGAGAATCAAACCTGTATCACTCTTAATTGATATATACCTATTTTTAAAGACCTCTGAAGAAAAAGAATCAACAATGAGAAAACTAGTTAGTGTACACTGCTAATCCAAAGCAAAAGCATTCATATTGTGGCACTCTGTAGCTGTTACGCAACATTAAAGCTAGTTGTCTCCATTTGACTCTAACTCAAACTGAAATGCCCCACCTATGCACATATATGGCTTCAAATGAAGTTTATTCTTCCTCATTTTTAAATATGAAAAGATAACCAAAGATGAATAGGTATATATACATCCCTGCAAAGCTTCAACAGAAAGAAAGTAGCTAAGAAAATCACAAGGAAAAAGCAATTCCAGAAGAAAAGTCAGGAAACAGAATTTTTTAAAAATGTAATTGTATACACAGAGCCAATGGACAAGACAGTATATATACTTAGGAAGAAAAAATGCTACAGAAAAAACAAAAAAAGCAAAACACACTTAGAACCATAAAGAGTGTCCTAAAATGGTAGTGTGGGATCATTCTTAGCAATATTATTATTTCTTTCGATTTGTGTTAGTGTTACTGTGACAAAGAGTAAGTAACAAAGCTGAATAAACACTAAACCTAACAGGCACTGGACTATTGTTAGAAACTAAAAAAAAGAAAACAACAAATTAAAGAAAACTCTGTACTAAGTACCCTTTTCGTTCACTCATCTCTGCCATCCAAGGTGAATTTAAAACACACATACAAAAAAGGCATGGGGAAGACAGACTGGGAATCTTTCAGAACCCTCCTCCAAACCCCTTCTCCACATATCCACACTACAGAGACAAATCCAGGTATGTTCTATAAAAAATAGACTGCAAGCTTACTGGTTTTCTGAACCTCTTTTAAAATGATGTTTTATCTTCTGTCCATTACATCTTCGCTACTATCTTTTTCAACAATTATTATTATTCTCTACTACTTTCTCCGTTCCTCTTTGTTTTCCTTCTTTAATTTCTCTGACTTTACAAATTATATGTGAAAATGTTGACTTATTTTTAGATATTTTCTATTTTTATAGGAAAATTCCCAACATTCTTTTTAGGAAATGGATAAAGAAGCTACCCCAATAGCACTATATAACGAATGAAAAACAAAGCAACAATACCAAAAGTAATGTTGTTCAAAAACTTTTTCTAGCTAATTAAGGAAAATTGCTCCCTGCCAGCAGAAATAGTAATATCAACAACATGTATACTATATATTGACATTGGGTTATCACACATTTGTGAAGATTTTTAATCACACATTTTGTGAACCTTCTTACTTTTACCCATTGTTTTCCCTGAATTTTAATCAATCATAACATAAATTACAATTTCATTTATTTTAACACTTTCAAGATCACTTACTTTTCCTCTAATTTAAAAGTAAGTCTCCCAATAAACACGTTTTAAATGGCTCAGGTTCTTTTTAATAAAACTGAATAATGCATCTTAAATTGTCACGCATTCTTAGAAAAACTGCTTAAAAATGGATCCGATTAAATAAAATACAAATAGTGAATAAACAAGGAAGTGCAACAAAGCTACCTGTTGTGAGTCATTTGATTTGAAAGCATCCTTAAGAATTTCAACTGCTCTTGATGGATCAACATACTTCCTTTTGGTACCAACAAGAAGTGCAAACAGGTACCTCAACTCACGCATAAAAGGCAAATTCCGATGTTCCTGGCAAAAAACAAAAAACAAAACCTTAAGTGAAGATTAATAAAATCTTTACAGATAAACAGATAATCATTTTAACAGTGTCCTAAAATTAGAGATGAATCCAGCACCCTATATCATAAAGAAAGAAAGAAGAGAGTTGGTGCAAAGAGACTCAAAGAAGTCAAGCACAAAACAGCAAAGGCATGAGGCTCACAATTTCAGCATAAATGCCACATATTCATAGCAAATCATGTCATTACACAGCCAAGAATATCCTCTTCATTCAAGTCTGCTTATTATAATCCTTCCCATTCAGTAAGGGCCAGCTGCTGCCGATGAGAGCAACAATAATAGCAAACATTCAATGAGTGTTCACTACATGCCAGGCACTGTTCTAAGTGCTTTACCCCAATAAACCAATTTAAGCAAAAAAGCCCTCCTCCTCCATGGAGCCTTTCCAAGTTCCTTCAAGTCAATGATCCCTTCAAATTCCACATCTATTGAAATAAATACCTTTCCCTTAGCAATGGATCCCAGTTGCCACTAGTGATGATCTTAATTATTAGACTAATATTAGAACCTCATCTAATTATTTTTAAAACTGAATAAATAGTAATGATTTATGTTTATTTTATACTTATTTATAAAATCACTTAAATCATTTTATACTGTATTTTATAACTATTAAATATATTTAACACAATTAATTGTAATTACAATTTTTAATGTAATTGAATGATAAGGAAAATACCCATCTATTACTTGGCGCATCAGCCACCTGGGACCCCCACGACCTCATGGAAGACCCACATCAGCATAATACTAACCTATTACCTGACACATCAACTAACCTATTACCTGGCGAACATTAGCCACCTGAAACCCCAGCCCTCGGACCACCCCAACTTAATAAAAGTGGGAAAAATCAGATAGACAAGGCTCAGAATTTGAGCCCTCTGAGCCCACTGGAGAATAAACTGTGATTCTCCGACTCTCCATGTGCCGCTCGGTTTGTCCTCGGAACCTCCTGCTGTAACACTTGCTGTAACAATAATATTAATCTAATAATTAGACCAGATCTTAATATGCAATTAATATATCATCCTACTATTCCTTGGAAATCTTCCTTTTGTTTCTCAATAAGACTGTAAGATTCTCAAAGACAAGAACTGTTATATCTCTTGCACAACTTTTTGTTACACAAAGTAGGCATTCAATCCTTACTGGATGACTAAAAGCAAACCTTCCAGAAAAAAATAAAAACACCCATATTATCGATCACTAGCAAATTATTTTAAAACAAGAGGAAAAACTTTTAAAAATAACATAATTCACATAACTTCGTAAAATGCTTGTGACAAATCAGACAAGCAGTTCTTATAATATTTAGTTCTTGCAATAACAATTTTAACAGATAAAGCTTAAATATACTATTTAAATATGGGAACACTTTTTGCAAGTTTACAGTAGTTCACATTCTCAACATTATAAAATTGTATTAGGGGTATGTGCATGTGACAGGAGGGGTATCTTTATATAGTTGTTGCCCAGAATAATGTAATCAACAAAGAAATAGTTGCTTCCAGAATACATATTAAAAAGGAGTCCTAAGACATAGGTAAAAGGGAATAAAATTCATTCCGAATACTTATCATTTCATCCAAAACCTATATACACCTTTAAAACAGTCACAATATACATAATTCTGGCAAAAGAAGGCTAAGTTGTAAAAAACATAATTTTTATTTACTTATAATAAATTCCATCATCAATGCTAAAGGTTAAATACAAAAATTTTAAATGAGCAAACTAATTCATGATTTTTCTCTGGTACTTCCTACTCCCTCACCAACTGCCCTAATATAAATAGGTTTTTAAAGTATAAATACTATGAATTTTAATCCACACAATAATCTCTAAAAGTACCCTTGCTTTCCTAAGATCAATGTCTTCATTTATCACTGCACCTAAATTAATGCAGTTTTTTTGAGGCATTCCTTGCCAAGGGACACGGATGAGGGTGATGACTTTTGAAAATTAAGTGAAATTCTACTGAGGCACATTTGAAAAGTAAAACACTTTGATATAATGAAACATTTTTGTCTCAGCCAATTCCTATGGCTAGAAAGTCTTTTTTAATTTCAAAAGGTAAAACTAAATGATGTTAAGGGAAGCTACTTCATTTGGCTAAATTATAAAAATATCACCATATGTAGAAACTGTTCAAACATTACTTTTTTATCTTTAACAGATTTGAGACAAAACTGATAATATATTGTGTACATGATAAAATGTATATTTTTATGAGTTTCACATGTGTATGCATCCATGAAGACATCACCACAATCAAGATAACACCCCTATCCATCAATCCCCCAAAAGATTCTTCATCCTTCATTCTCTTCCTTAATCATCCCCAGGCATCCAGTCACTCTGCATTTTCTAAAAATTGACATAAATAGAATCACATACTATGCATTTGTTTTAGTCTGATTTCTTGTAATCAACATAATTATTTTGAACTTCGTCCATATGATTAGGTACATTAATAATTCACTCCATTTTATTGCTGTATGTTATTTCATCGTATGGATACACCACAACTTGTTTATCTGTTAACCTGTTCTAGGGGCTGTGAATATCAGTGTACATGTCTTTGTGTGGACATAAGCTTTCATTTCTCCTGAGTAAATGCCTGAAGGGGAATGGCTAGGTTGCATGGCTGATGATTTTAAGCAATGACTAAATTGTTTTCCAAAGGCATTATAACATTTTATATTCCCACCAGTAGAGTAATAAAGAGTTCCACTTCCATATTCTACCAACATTTAGGTATAGGCTATATTTTTAACTTTATTTCTTTTAGTAGGTACATAGTGACATCTCTAGTTTTAATCTACATTTCCCTAACATTGAGCATATTTTCAAGTAGTTATTTGCCATCTGCGTATCTTTTTTGGTGAATTATCTGTTCAAATACTTTTCCCAGTACAGTAATAGGTTATTTCTCTTATAATTATTGAATTATACAAGTTCTATATGTGCTTTATTTGCTAACATTTTCTCCCAGTCTGTGGCTTGCCTTTTCATTCTGTATAATTTTTCCAAAAATTATTTAATTTTTATGCCAATTTATCAATTTTTTTTCTTTTATAATCTATGCTTTTTTATTGTCCTACTTAAGAAATCTCTGCTTAACCTAAGACACTAAAATTTTCTCCTATGTTTCTGTCAGGGAATTTTTACAGTGTTAGTTTTTCCTTTTAGGTCTATAGTTCTTTATGAATTATTTTACTTTATAAAGGTCAGGTAAGGGTTGAGGATTATTTTCCTATCCATGACATCATTAGTTGAAAAGATTTTCCTTTGCCCATTGAATTGTCTCAGTAACTTTGATTAAAATCAAATCACTCCATTATGCGTAGGTCTATTTCTGAACTCTGTTCTGCCTCACTGATCCATAGAATGATCACTGTAGTCTTATAATTAACCCTTCCAACATTCTTTTTCTTTTCAAAATTTTTATTGCTATTCTACATCATCTGAATTTCGAAATAAATTTTAGTATCGGTTTGTCAATTTCTATGAAAAGGCCTACTGGGATTATCACTAAGATTACATTAAATCCACAGATTAAGTTGGGGACAGATGACATGTCAATAATATCGAATCCCCTGTCCATGAACATAGTATATGTCTTTATTTCTTTAATTTCTCTCAGCAATATTTCTCAGTTTTCAGTATACTGGTCTTCCGGCTATATGTTTTGTCCATTTTCTCCCTAAGTATTTCATGTTTTTATGCTATGGTATCGAAGTATTTTTAAATTTAAATTTCCAATTGTGCATTGCTAGTACCTAGTAATACGAGTAATTTTTATGTTAACCTTGTATCATACAATTTTATTAAACTAATTTCTTGGTTCTAGAATCCTTTGTTGTTGTTTTCATAGAGTACTTAGAATTTTTTTACATAGACAATCAAGTCTTACAGTTTTTCTTCCTTCCTAGCAGCATGCTTCTTATTCTTGCCTTATGACACGGTTAAGAACTCCAGTCTAATGTTTAATAAAAGTAGTGAAAGCTGACATCCTTACTGCTCCTGATATTTGGGGGAAAGCATTCAATCTTTCACCTTTAAGTATTATAGCAGGTGCAGATTTTTCTGTTAATGAGCTTTATCAAATAAAGAAGTTCTTTTTTATTCCCAGTTTCTAGAAGATTTTACCATAAATAGGTGCTAGCTTTTGTCAAAACCTTTTCTTCATCTACTGAGATGATTAAATGGTTTTTTCTTCATTAGTCTGTAAAGATGGTGAATTATATTGATTGATTTTTGAATGCTAAACCAATTTTGCATTCCTGGATAAGCCCCATTTCCCCATAAGATATTATTCTTTATATATATTGCAGGATTCGATTTGCCAAAAATTTGCTCAAACTTTTTGCTTCCATATGCATGAAGAATATTGGCCTGTGGTTTTCTTTTCTTAAAATTTATTTTTCTACTTTTGATTTCAGGCTAATGCTAGGCACACAAAATGAGTTGGGAAGTTTTATCTCGTTTTCAATGACCTGTAAAAATGTATAGGGAGTTGGCATTATTTCTTCCTTAAATGTTCAGTATAATTCACCAGTAAAACTATTCAGCTGTTGAGTTTTTTGTTGGGTGGGTCTTATTTTTCCACATAATATAGGGCTACCTCAGGTTACATACTGCTTCATCAGTGAGTTTGATAGCCTGTGACTTCCAAGATGCCTGTCTATTATTTAAAATATTCCACTATTCTCCTTTTATTGTCTACAGAATATGTAGTGATGCCCCCCTTTCTTCATTACTTATATTTGTAATTTATGTTTTCCCTCTGTTTCTTGCTCAGTCTATCTAGAGGTTGATCAATTTTACTGATCTCAAGAAGCAGCTTTTGGTTTCATTAATTTTCTCTGTTCTTTTTCTGATAACTAGTTCATGGATTTCTGCTCTTTATTATTTCTTTTCTTCTGCTTTGGGATTAATATGTTTTTTTTTTCTCTCCTAATTTCTTGATATGCAAGCTGTTGTCATTATACTGAAACCACTGTTCTTTTCTAATAAGGTCTTTGGTTCATATATTTTCCACTAATGACTGTTTTTAGCTGAATCCCTCTAATTTTGATAGATCATGTTTTAATTTTCATTCATTTCAGAATATTCTGAAATTTTCCTTTTGATTTGTTTTTTTCCCCCTTGGGATATTTAGAGGTGTATTATTCAGTTTCCAACTATATGGGGATTTTCTAGATATCTTTGTTGTTGATTTCTAAATTCCACTGTAGTCAGAAAACTACTTCTTTGTTTTGAATCTCATAAAATGTACTGAGACTTGTAAATCCAGTCCCTGTTACCTCATCATGACTAAAGGAAGAAATCCCAGAATGCCTCTTTTGTAAAATTCAGAATTCCTTTGGGTATTTGCTCCTGGAATTGAGTATGGTACTCAAGTGCACCCATTTCCTTCTTCTATGATTCTCACTTCTAGTAAAGTGGGAAAAATATATTTAAAAATATTTGCCCTAAATCAAGATTTTAAATAACATTAATATAACCTTACAATTAATAAGGCTTTAGTTATTTATATGGTGATTTCCACTAAATATTATATAGATATACATCTTTGTTTTCTCAACACTTAATATGTTTTGCCATCAGTTTTTAACATTTTTAGCCGAAAGAATATCTGTGTGGGAGAATAGGGGTTGATTACATTGAGAATGTATCATTAAATTTCTAGTACCATCCATAATACTAAAAGACACTAAAATTACGAACAATTCAAATATTAATAAATACAGGTCTATAAAATTAGTTTCAATTTGTAGAAGCAATAACCAAGTATACTTAAAATACAAATTGATTTCAAAGACTCCATTTATTTCTCTCACTCAATATGTACGTAATATTTGTGGCAAGTTTCAATTGCTAACAAAAAATATCCTAGTTAGCAATGCATGCAAATGATATCTCTGTGATTTGATCAAAGTGATCTCAAGTGTATTCTGTATCTCATTACATTATTTTTCAAACTCAATGCAGCAGCAAACATTTCATGAGTTGAAAGTAATTATTACATAATGAATGATAAAAGTTACACTGACACCTTTTTTAAAACCTGTGTCTTTTATCACCTCAAGGGAACACAGCACCCATTAGTGGCTGATAACTACCTATATATATCACATTTGCTTCAAAGATGTCAACTTATAGCATCTACTGCTGTTACCAGGCCAAATAAAAGAATAACCTCATTTGTGGAACAATCTTACATAAAACTGCATAGGATTCTTCAAAATAAGTGTTTTTATCAGAATGAAAGTGACAGATTTTTTTAATCCCCTAAGTTAACAGTACACCTGGAGATGCCAACTTTTTCATGCAAGAAACAAATTTCTCTAGAAAGGTGCAGAAGATTGGAATTACACATTTTTCTAGTATTCAATGAACATTCTATGACTTCACAACTAGTATATAAACATGGATATAACAACTTTTTAAAATAAGATTACAAAACTCAGTTGGTCTTACTCAACACTATGAAGAATAAAAGAAATTAAAGCTCTGAACACTAAAATCCAGGAACATATATGGTCAAGACACAAATACATATATACACATAAAATTGGAAATACTAATTCTGATAATGTCATGCAAGTTATATGCATACTTTAACCAAGACATGAGAAGGGAGAAGTACTGTTGATATTAACAAATTGCAATAAAAGGAAGGAATAGTTCAAAAAGTTTCATGTAAAAACTGTATTGATTGAAGGGGTTTTGCTTAATTTCTCTGGAGGTATAAGAGGTGGTCAGATGCTCCGCTTTCCCTTTTGAAAATGGGCTGTTTATCAGCCTGACAATTTACAGCCCAGAGATTATGACCTGCAAAGTTGGTTATAAATCAAGTTATGTTCCCCCTAGCATGCATTATAAATGTTTGATGTGTTTGCAGAAAAAGTGCTTTTAAAAATTAAACACTAAAAGGAAAACATAATTTAATAATTTATCACTACAACTAACAATAGGTCACAAAAAGTTCAGCACTTTACTGAAACCTAAAACTTTAACTTCTTTATCTTTGCAACCAGTTCATGTTAAGACTACAGGTTCTGGCCGGGTGCGGTGGCTCATGCCTGTAATCCTAGCATTCTATGAGGTCGAGGTGGGAGGATCACTCAAGGTCAGGAGTTCAAGACCAGCCTCAGCAAGAGTGAGACCCCATCTCTACTAAAAATAGAAAGAAATTGGCTGGACAACTAAAAATATATAGAAAAAATTAGCCTGGCATGGTGGCGCATGCCTGTAGTCCCAGCTACTTGGGAGGCTGAGGCAGGAGGATCGCTTGAGCCCAGGAGTTTGAGGTTGCTGTGAGCTAGGATGACGCCACGGCACTCTAGCCTGGGCAACAGAGAAAAAAAAAAAAAGACTACAGGTTCTTTATGACAAGATCACTAAAGCCCTACACTCAACCATATCATCTCCATAACTAATTTATGTCCATTAGATACAAATTTTTGCATGCAAATCAATCTTACGTTTTTAAGTCCTGTTTTTGAAAAAACAACTTTTTGTTACTTAACTAACAACAGCTGATACCTAGTACTTACTATGTACCGAGGTACTTTTAAGCCCTTTCCGTATTTTACCTCATTTAATCCTCACAAAAACTCTATGAAATAATTACTAGTATATATTATTATTTATAACCAATTATTATTATTTATAACCAACTTACCAATTTACACTTCACAGGTAAGGAAAGTGAACAAAGAGAGATGAAGTAACTTACTCTAAGCCCACAGCTAGAAACTAAGCAATCTGGCCCTGGTGTCTGTGTTCTCTTGTCATTTTATACTGCCCATCTAACAATGTTAACTTTCAAAATAGAAGGTATGGATTCGACTACAAAGGCATTAGTGCAAAAGTGATTTTTAAAGGGCTCCACTAGACAATCAATTGAAAAGAAATTTTGAGTTCTACACATTTTTTAGGAGACAATCGAGAAAAGAACTCAAATTGTAAATTGTAGCCTATAAAGTTTACTGAAACTTGACAGTCCCAAAAAAACTACTACTCAAGTGACAGAGAAATTGGTATATTACTGGGACATACAGGTGAAGAAAAATTCATATTTACAATATATTGACGAAGGATAGGAATCTATTATAGTAATTGAGATCAGTGATCTGACATTCACATTCTAACAGTTTCAGTTTTGATAAGACAAATAAATGCCCCCAAAGCAATCACAGATAAGAGGAAAAAAAGAAGCACATATATTCTGTTTAAAAATCTTGTAATTTTACCTTTTGGTTTCGGGGTAAATCTTGAGCATTTGATGGAGGCTTGTAATTCAGAACTAATCTTCTAAATTCCAGAAGATTGAACAATGACTGAAAAAGAACAATAATTTCAGATAACCTAAAGGAAAATTCTATTAACAGATTATAAAATGACTGGTTCCAGAGACTTATTTTTGACAACTGTACTACTTATACACAGAATTGTTGCAACTAGCACAAGAAGAACTATTTTTCTCTCTGAGAAAAAGTCATATTTCATGTATTTTGACATATTATTCTTGATACTTATTCTATTGCAAAACACAAAATGATACAAAACTTAAAAACATATTATTAAAAGTTTTCTTTATATTACTATATGCTTAATATTCTCTGTACAATCTTCTCTTTGTTTATATTCCTTTTCTGACATTCTATTCCCCTTTCCTCCCACAATATTGATCTTAATGCCTAAAAAAATAAGTATACAAAGCTACACCTATTGGAGCCTACCCCCACTACCTCTTTGAAGTTAGAGGTTTATATTCCCAGTAAACTTCTTTAATTGGTAAATATATTCACAAGGAAAAGAATTCTCAGTTGTTTCATATTAGTCCTGCCACTAAGTAAATCCCAACCCTGAGAAAATTCTGTAATTTAAACTTTACAGTACATTTACATCACAGTTTGAACAAGTTCCAACTCACTCTGGAAAACAATAAAAACCTCAAACACTAAAGCAGATTTTCTGCCCAACTTTTCTTTCTTAAGTGAGAAGTTCCATTTATGATGGTAAACTGCTACATCTCAGTTTATATCTGGGAATTAAAGTAGTTAATTATTTTATGACAGAAAATAAAAAAATAAAAGATTCTAATTACTAAAGATAAAAAGCTACTAAAAATAGTTTAATAGACTTTGCAATTACAATAAAAAATAAAACTTCAAGTTTTCTCTAGACAAATTTGCTTGCCTACTCACAATTTTCTAAAATTTGAAGCTTAATGTTTTTCCCTACCCCCAAAAGTGGGGAAAAGGCCTATCTTCTTAGGCCATTATAACCCAAATTTTTAAGCTTAGATATTACTTCCCCTAGGTGTTTAGATTTCTCCAAAAGAAAAAATTAATAATCCCAAATACCTTATACCTGCCTACGTTAGGAGTTAAACAGTCACTAAACTTACACAAAATTTTAAAACTAGTAAAATTACTAGTTTTTAATAAGCTAGTAATTTAGAAAAAGACAGCAAATTTTTTCCAGCTCATTCCCTCCCCACCAAAAACCACCAAAAATCTAAAATGTAAAGCAAAAGCTAACATCAGCAAACTGACTTAGGGTAGAAATAGATGTACGCACAGTATTAAGTTTGAACTGAGATATTAAAAGAAGTTTGTCCTATTAAACGGTGGTTATCCCTATATCTATTAATATTAATTTTTCACTTCAAATAGGCCTTTCCTATAAATATAGGAAGAAGAAATAAAGAATACCTATTCTAACTAATACTGATTATTTACAAGTAATTTCTTTCTTCTTACACTTTTCTAAGAGAAGCTTCTAATCAATGGGCCTCATTTATTGGCCATAATAATGTTAGGACAGCATCTACTTGACCAAATACAGTCAGCAAACCATATTTATGAACACTCAGATCACAGCCTTAAAATTGTCCTTCATATTTTAAAATGATGTGTAAGTTATAAAATATATAAAACATTAATAATAAATAGTACAAGTGAAATAGCCTATTAAAAAATCTAAGAGACTCTAATACTATCAAATAAAATTTTAGATACTGTTTTTGGTATCTGAGTGAATAAATAATCCATAATCAAGGCTGTAAGCAAAGATACTACTACCGATTTATGTTAATCCAAGTATTCCTTAACATTTTAATATCCTTGAAAAACTAATAACATAGCAATTACTTACTAGCAGGCACCAAAGCATATTAAAGAGACAAATCCAGAAAACCAAAGGAAAGCAAATTATATGGTATTATGTGCCAGAAACAAAAAGGGGGAGGAGGAAAAAACTATAATACTGAAGTAGATAAAAAGCTAAAATTACAGATTAATCATCTAGAGAAAACAATAAGAAGCTTGTAGAAAATGAAGTGAATGACCATTTAGTTCCAATAATATCACCTGAAAGTTTAAACTGTCATACACACACATTTGGAAAGTTATAAAATAAAGAGATATTTTGAATATAGAAAAAAATAGCATAACATGTCCACTAATGTGAGACTACTCATCAGGAACAATAAATAATAAACTACAATTCAACTGTCTTATGAAAATAAACACAAAGTATTAATTTTCCTAGAGAATGATAAAAATTAAAGACATATAATTATTCATAGATTGTTTTATTTAAAGTTTTTTAATCTGATGAATAACATTACTGATATAGTTTGAGTATTTGTCCCTTCCAAATCTCATGTTGAAATTTGATGCCCAATGTTGGAGGTGGGGGCCTGGCAAGAGATGTCTAGGTCATAGGGGTGGTTCCCTCATGAATGGCTTTGTGCTCCTCGCTGCAGTAATGAGTGGATTCTTGCTCTATTAGTTCAAGCAAGAGCTGGTTATTTAAGAGTGTGGCAACTCCTCTCTCTTGCCATGTGACATGCCTGCTCCCATTTCATCTTCCATCATGAGTAAAATCTTCCCGAGGACCTCACCAGAAGCAGATGCTGGCACCAGGCTTCTTATACAGACTGGGAAACTATGACCCAAATAAACCTCTTTTTTTTGTAAATCACCCAGCCTCAGATATTTCCTATGTAGCAATGCAAAACAAACACAATTATCAATGTTACCTGAGCATGGTGAAGAATTATGACAATAGTCATTATAACTTTAAAAAATCTAAAAAAAAGAAATCAAGCTAAATACGATATTAAAACTATTCCAAGTTGAGAAAAGGATGGATATCTACACATACACATATCTCTTATTTTAGAATAAGCTGCTCAAGAAACATTAAGAGCTGTCTTAATTAAAAAGAAAATGTGTTATTCTGGATTTATCAATATTTATTCTTTATAGCATTCTCATATATGCAGAGAATTATCTGTTTATAAATCTATACCAATCTCAAAATGCCTCTTCATATTAAAAATATTATTTAAATGACTATAATTTTCTAGTATATACAAATAAATCTGATATGAACCACAAAAAGCCAATTCTGGTTTCATATCTTGGTTACAACGCTTCCCTAAATTTGCAGGAAAATATATACAAAAATATTTTCTTTCCACCCCAACAACAATTCCTAATAGCTGGGAGGAAGGAGAAATTCATTCCAAATAAGTGAAAGGCATAGGTAGTGCTCTACTCTTAAAACTTCATAAAGAAAGTGGAAAGTGAAGAAGGGTGAGGGGATATTGCAATCCCCAAACTAGTTTACTAGACAGAAGGACATATAAAAAACTTGTCTATACTTAACATTTAAAGTATACAACTTAAAAGAAACACAACCCAATCCATTTTCCATTGCTATCATGCTCACCAAAAAAGAGCTGAAAAAAGATCCTTACCTGAATAACAGCACTGAACCAGCAAGTATTTCCAACGTTCTTTAGCCCAACAGGAGCTTTGTCCTGCCTTTTTCTATCATAAGGGTTTCGAGAATCCCTCCAAACTTCTGTAGGTGTCCTCTTCAAACATGCTTTATTTTCTGCTATGCTGGCTTCAAGAACTCTTAAATAATGATGAGAAAAAAAAAATACAGTATTATATAATGCTGTACCCCAGGCAATAGCATATCATAAAATCTAAGCACTTTGATTATATAAGCTCTAGATAATGCATTTGGGAAAGTAATATTTAATGCTAACTTTACTCAAATAAATGTTAGTTTTAACAGTGGCAATGTCAACAGCTAAAGAGAAGTGCAGCCTTTCTTCCTAAGAAAAAAGAAATGTCAAACACAAAAAGACAGTGTTAAATATAACAGAAAGGATGTTACATTATGTTTCAGCAAATTACTATCAGGAATATAGCACCTAGAAAAATTTTCTGAGACATAAATGCATTAAAGTGCATATATACAATACAATCTAATCACTACTTTTTATAACAATTACTTTGAACTGAACAAATCACACTTTGACCATTTATTTCCTCTTCTATAAAAAAAAAGTTAAATGAGGTAAATTCTACAGTGCCTTTCAGTTCTAGAGATCTATGACTCTATGACAGTCAAATAAAAAAAATAATATATATTCCCTTCACTCAAAAGTTTGCCTTGCGAAAAACCTAATAAAATAAATATCTAAATATCAAAATTACTGAAGATTATTAAACTCACCTAAAAATGTATGTAAATATGGCAAGAGTAATGCTAAATTGTTTTATGATTCTTTTCCTGCTCCTAAACATGCAACAACATACTTATCATTATTACTGGAAAATCCTAATTCCCACATATGAACTAACCAAGCATTTTGCCTGCTCATGAAATGTGTTAGTTACTATTCTAAATAAATATAAATAACATTCAAGTATCTTAACCCACTTTGTGTTAGTTATAAAAATCTCAGCAAAAATGAGTTTTTCCAACTTTTTGGCTTCTCAAGAAAATCTCATTCATACATCATCTTTATCCTAAAGAATTTATGCTATTAAATTAATGTCAAAATAACATTTTTTTATCCCTAATAGTAGTATTTACAATATGACATTAGATACAGTGTAGCAGTAGTCCAAAATATCATTACTTAAAATATCCTCTGTGAATACAGAAGAAAGTCTTTTGGAATTAAAAAACCACATACTTTTAAAAAGTGGGTAACACGATATGATATGTTAAAATATAAAGATCAAAGTAAACTCATATATTTAAAAATAAACAGTTTACACCTCTGCCACTTTTAAGAGTGACTCAACATTACCAGCAGTACACTTTGCCAAAAATCAACTCCCACAAGCAACCCCAGACTCTCGGCTTTTTTCAATGAGACACCAGAACTCTTTGGAAGGTATTTAGTTAAATGAATTGGGGCAGAGGAAAATCTAGAACACTCCACCATTACTAGAAAGCAACTTTTCAAGATACAAGGAAGACATAAAAAGTCAAAGAGCCACCTTGAGAGACCTCATAGTGGTGACATTGTACAGTTCAGCATTGTGTAATACAATAATAATCAACTGGAACAAACTGAATTGGTACAAGGAGACTAGTTTATGCTGAGAAAAGATAATGCACAGTATGCAAAAGATAACTGTTAATACAAAAGATTGCTGTATATAGAGGATATATTTAACTTGTTATTGACTTTTGGTGTTTTCATTTGAAAATTGTTTCCAATGTAATACATACATATATTTACGAGTACAAAGTAAATGTATTTCTATCTTGGTAATCAGAGACAAATAAACTAAAACAAGCAATAAGTTCTAGAAAAGGTAGACACAATACCACAATTAGTACCAGTCATCCTATATAAGAGATAGAAAAGGTACTCAGCAATTGGTTAGTGCCAGTTGGACAAATTTAATAATCACTTTAAAAAAGGATTCTATAGCATATTCTAAAAGTATAAACTGGTCAAAAGTCTAGACTAACTCCACTCAATCCTTAATCTCCTAGTAGATGAACTTCTACCATTATATTTTGACTATCAATTATAATAAAATACTAATAATACACAAATCATCCTTCTAAATAATGCCAACAGACTAAATCACAAATATTATTAGGTTAAGTATGAAATGCCTGATTTCCTTATGTACTAAGTTTGACAGTTGATATCTCTGACACTGTACTTTGACATTTCTTGTTTTATTTTTACTGTGAAGGTACATCTTCAACCTTTCAAATGCATTGTTTGGCTTGTGATTATCTTCCAAATTTTTTTAAAGAGCAATTTTTGTGAAACCATGGATAAGTAAAAAATTGGTGTTATTTTCAAATATGAGTCCCAACGTGGAACCAATGCCACGTAGACAGCTTGAAATAACAACAAAGTGTTTGGGAAGGCTGTGGATAATGAACACACAGTACATCAATCGTTTGAGAAGGTTCGCTCTGGTGATTTTAATCTTGCAAATGAGCCAGGTAGGTGACCTGGGACCAATGTGGATAATGATAAGCTGAAAGCTGTACTGGAAGCGAATCCATCTAACTTACGCGTTCATTAGCAGCAGGGTTTGATGTTACTATTCCAACAATATTGGACCATTTGAAACAAATCAGCAGGGTAAAGAAGCTGGATAGATGGGTACTGCATGAATTAAATGAGCGTCAGAAGAGAAAGCCTCTCAAAGCTTGCCTTTCTTTGCTGTCACAACAAAGCTGAACGATTTTCTACACCATATTGTTATGTGTGAGAAAACTGGATTCTTTTTGACAATCGCAAGCATTGGGCACAACATGTGGATAAAGATGAAATGTGGAAACAGTCCAAAACTGAAAAAACTAATGGTGTCTGTTTGGTGGTGCAATGCTAGTATTATCCACTACAGCTTCATGAAACCTGGTTAATCAATTACAGCTGCAGTCCCCAGCCCCGGGCCATGGCTCAGAATTGGTCTTCTGGCTGTTAGGAACTGGGCTGCACATCACTGCCTGAGCTCCGCCCACCCCTGCCCCCACCATCTGTGGAAAAATTGTCTTTCATGAAACTCAGGAACCAGGCCACACGGCAAGGAGGTGCGTGGGGAATGGGGGGAGCAGTCTAGCCAGCGAGCACTCGAAGCTTCATCTGTATTTACAGCTGTTCCCCCACATCACACACATCACCATCTGAGCTCTCCGCACATCTACCTCATGGAAAAACTGCCTTCTGGGAAACCGGTCCCTGATGCCAAAAAGGTTGGGGACCTCTGGATTATAGCAGATGTCTACTGCAACCAACTGGACAAGAAGAGGAGGATGCTTGTGATTAAGCAGCAGAGACTGGTCAACAGAGACAGGCCAATCCTCTTTCAAGACAACGCTCGACCACATGTTGCACAAACAATGCTTTTCAAACTATAGAGGCTGGACCTGGAAACTCTCTGTTATCCACAGTATTCAACAGACCTTGCATCAACTGACTACCACTTCTTCCTGGCTTTGGGCCACTTCTTTCAAGGAAAAACATTCAATTCTCAACAAGCTATGGCAAACACCTTTCATGATTTCATCGCCACTCACTCTCCATGGCTTCTTTGCTGCTGGCATAAACAAGCTACCTCACCATTAAGAGGGCAAAACTGTGTCAACAGTTTAGGTGCATACTTTGATTAATCGTACAGCTTCCTGTTTGAGATATAATAAACTAAACTTTTGATTCGAAATCGGACATTTCATATTTAATGTCCTAAATATAAAGAGCAGGCAATGTATCACACACACATTAGTTACAGAAAACTTGGTAACATTTAATTTCTTCAAAATACAGCCAATCTGCAAAACTTAAAATTCATATATGAATCACATAATACAATGGGACTTGGTCTCAAGATCAGATTGAGCAAAAAAACTAGGTCTCATGTTCCTTATAATGGTCAAAAATCCAACCTAAATCTACAACCTAGACTGACTTGAGATGATAATATTTTTCTTATTCCAGATCTGGTTAAGACTATTAAACCCAGGAAGTTTGGTTTTTTTTTTTTTTTTTTTTTAATGCTTTAAATCTGTCAATTCCCTCATCCTCCTGTTCTGTCCCCTCCCCACCAAAAAACATACACCTTTTGATTTGTATGTTTACATACAAAATATGTGATACAAATGATACATTAATGCAATGAAATAAAGTAAGATTTTTAGTTCCCTGTCTACCCTCACCCCTCACAGGACTTGGGAGAATGTATGGCTTCAAATGTAGTTCCTAGGAGCAAGCAGAAAGGAAGTAAGAGAAAGGAAGTTAGAGGTATAATCCAAGACACCATCTTTCCAGCATTCCTCTATACCTTTCTTTACAGAGGTCAAATTAGGTACAGACTACAATTAACTGTCTGCTTAGTGCTCAAGAGATACACGTAAATTGCTCATTGCGCCTCAAAGTCACCTAAGATTTAAAAATAAAATCATAACCATTTCCTAAACCACATTTATACTTGGTATATATATTAGATACTCATATAGCTCAATTCAGTGATATGGTAGATATATCATCATTCATCATAACAAAAATATGGGTTTAAAAGAAATAGGTTTAATATTCCTTAACCATAACATATGGTAGAATTATGGTGCTAAAAAAAAAATGGTAAATGAAAAAGGAATGCCACGGTTTTGTGATCTCTTTGATTTAAAGCTTTCAACACATTTTCTTTTTATACCACCAGAACCTTGTAACATGCCTCAATAGGTTTCTTACCACTTCCTATTGGTTCCTAAATAACTTTATAAATACACTATCACTGCACCAAAAATATTAATCAACCAATGTCTCCCGTCAGCTTCTGGAGGGTAGAAACACAGGTTGTTTTACCTCTAGAGCATACAGGATAAATAGTAGGAGCTAAACAAGTTTTTGAAGTAAATAGATAATTAAGATATTACATGCTACTACTTTTTTTTTTTAAGCAAAAGCCAAACCTGTATCCCAAATACTACTTTATTTCCAAGCATTATCCCTCTCTTAATTCAGTACTGGTACTATAAATCCAAACTTTTTATAAAGCTAAGTCCTACATAAGGGTTCCTTCCCTGGCCTTACGGGTGATACTATCCAAGCTTTGAAGTATAAGGCATGCAATAGCTAAAT